ATCTCCTTTCCAAAAACCCAAGCACCTTTGTAGTCCATATATTCTGGCAATATTTAGTATAATAAGCAAATTTTATTTCTGTTCTGCAATATGTCTGGAGTATCTCATTGAAGTACAAGTATGTTGAATGCAGACTAGTAATATACTGCTTTAGAATCCCTTTAAACAGGAATTTGAAAATCTACAACTATTAATGTTCAGCAATAACCTTATAAACAAATGCCTTTGATAATTTACTGATGGGTAGGTGAATCAAAGAACTGATTTGTTTAGTTTTATAAAACTTCTATGCTTCCCCTCCCCTTTTTTTGTTTTTACTTAAGGAATTTAAAGTTCTACTTTGGAAATCACATGCTGGCTGAGGGAATAGTTATCTTTTGTAGGAACGCAAACTTCCAAGATAATGGGCAAAGTAATATTAACTGAGACACAAACATTCCAAGAAGCCAGGTTAAACATCTTAAATCAGCATTAAGGTAAATCCATTAAAAAAACCAAAAACAAAACGGGGGAGCAGTTTAGAAGCTGACACTTTTTATTTCCCCTAGTGGTAAATGAAACCTAAACCTGGCTCAGGCTGTGGAAGGCTCCTCAGGAAGAGGAAGGGTTAGAGCATGGAGGGACTGAAACAATTTTTTTGTGAAAATGGTTTCCGCAGGAACTAGATGAGGGCTTTTTTTCATCTCAGGAAGAAAACATGATATTTTAGGGCTTTGACTGTATATATTAATGGTCCAAAGTAAAATTCTGAATAAGGATAAAAACTACATCTTAAGTTCCTGGAAAGATAATTTATTTAAGATTTTCTGCAGGCAGGCATGAATTTTTAATGCACTCCTATTTCTCAGGCATTTTTCTACAGTATTTATTATTGTATATTCAATATGTTACTTTAAGTAAAAATAAGTCTTTAAAACTGACAAAGTTAAACATGTCTTTCTTGCCACACCAGAATGTTCTTCAAACCAAAAATTTAGCTGCAAATTGTTCTTGCAAATCAAAGTCTGATTGTTTTTAACTATAGACCCTCAAAGCCCATTTGAGTGCAGAAGAAAGGAGATCACAATTTGCTGAGTAGACTTAGGCTGTATATAATCAGAAACATTAAAAAGGACTCACATTTCCTTCTTTTTATGGCCCAACTCTGGTAATAATACTATTTTAACGTGATTTATAACATAAGCAAGATCGTAGTAAAGTATTTTTACTTTGAGAAGGCTACATTGTAGAAACTAAAATGGAAAATCTGTTGTTAAAGCATTCAGTGAAGACCAGACTAACCACTTGAGCCAAACAGCACAGATTACATGCGGTATGTTCAAGCTACTCCAAGTAAAAACAAGCCAACTGTAGACATAAGGAGAGACAGAGGAGTGAAAAGAAAACGCCAACCGAACAAAACCAACAAATACCTCCCCCTAATAGCAAATAGGTGATTATTGTGCTAAGTTTGAAAAAGTTTGTGTGGAAACTCAAAAAAAAAAAAAAAAAAGAAGACACACACATACTTAAAAGAACTTTTAATACAGTGCTTATAATTATGGAGACACCAAAATCCCTCCTGTTTAAAGTGTTAACTGTGGTAGCAAGAAATCTGCCAGTACCCAAATTAGTCTGGCATTTTCATGGTGTCAAATACTGTAATATGTACAACTGGCCAAGAACAACATAGTTTCATGCATCAAGTGCCAGCAGCAACCCCACTAGCAGTGCAGTTTAATGACGGCTATCAGACTCGAGCATACTGGAAACCTCTCTCTTCCTCCTTTTTGGCAACATTAAAAATATGAAGACAGAGTCATTAGACTGGAATTTACATGACCTATTTTTCCAAACGTATGATTAACACGTCACACCCTTAAACAAAAATTATTTTGTTTCTGAAACTTGTCCAAAAGCTGAATGCATGAAGTAAGGAAACAGTTCCTGGTACATGCATGAAGCCATCACTTGCACACACAAATTCAGATCAAGGTTTTTCCTCCTGATTTTTGGACATGTACAGTATCAGTGTATTGAGACAAGGAGGCACAAAATGTAATCAGTTCTAAGCCATGTTAAGTGTGATGGCTTTGTAATGGAAAATAACTGCGGTGCTTGAAGGTAGTTGACATAGTTCCAGGTCCTTAGGACCTTAGTACAAAAGGTGTAAAAAAAGCAGAATAGAAAAACAGGACCTGGGGATGGGGAGTATCTGGGACTAGCAGATGTCCAGGGTGGACACAGATAAACTAACTGATAAGTAGAAGGACAGGATGATTGCAGGTTGCCCAGGGGGGTTGTGGAGTCTCCCACATTCAAGGGCCGCCTGGACAAGTTCCTGTGTGATGTACTCTAGGTTACCCTGCTCTTGCAGGGGGGTTGGACCAGATGATCTCTCGAAGTCCCTTCCAACCCTTGGGATTCTGTGATTCTGTGATTGCTATGTTTGGTGTTAATAAAGCCATTAAGCTGGTGTAAAACACCTACTGGGGAGTATCCTGGACTAGCTGAAGTCCAGGATGGGAGTAGTTAAACTAACTGGTAAGTAGAAGGGCAGGATGATTGCTATATCTGTAATGTTAATTAAGCTTTTGGGGAAAAGTAAACGATCCTTAAAGACCACCACATTTTTGTATGCATGCCGGAAACTTTCTGTAAAATGATGTAATATGCCCAGTGACCATGTAAGGATGGTCTGCATGGCAATACGCGGACACACGTTAGGAGGAGCTATCTCCCATGTCTCCCGGCGGCGCAATAAAGAATACCTGCTTGTCAACTTGAAACTGTTGGAGTTTGTTCCTGGAGTTTTCTCCGAATCAGTATTGAATAATTATTTATGTTCCTTTAGTGAGTTATGGTAAGAGACAGCTTTTTCGAAACTTGCCAGCACATCCTGTGGATAAATATGTATACACTTTACGTATTGTATTAGAAATGTGAACGTTTGTTCTTGTTTATTAAATATTGCACACCATAAAACTACAAGATAAGCACTGAAATAGCAAAGAAATGAGCAAAGTATTAATGCCTGAATCAATTTAAGTCCTAAAACATTAAATGCTTTGAGTACTGATTTGAAAATTTATAGCATTACTTTTATTGTAAAATATATACAACCCTACATATAAAACCTATTTGCCTTTATGTTGCTGTGCTGCCAAATAGGACTGTTATCTCTACAAACTAATAATTCCAAGAGCAATTACTGTGAGCACCTTTCTGCAGTTTTCACAAGACAACTATAGTGAGCTACCCATGCATAATTAGTCCGCCTTAAAACTAGCTATTTCTTTTGCACTTGTTTATTCTTTGTTGGCATTAAAACTAAAGTTACAGCTCAAATGCAAACAGGTTGGTTTTGGTGCAGAGGGAAAGACTGCAGGCCCCAGAAGGAAGCAGCAGTGGAATTAGGAGTTACTGAGATACAAAACTGGCCCTGACTTTTTGCTCTTTCTTGCGAAGCATGTAAGATTAGTGTTTGATAAGCACTGCAGTAATCTGTTGAAGGCTAGTTCTCCCTCCACTCTTTGAAAGAAAATGAAGGACAAATGAGGCTAGGGATGCCACTGGTTCAGGAATGGGATGAATCACAATGAGAGGCGCCTTCGGGCAGGAAAACAACCTTACTCCCCTCGGAGAAACGTTTCTCGCTTCTCATTGCTTCTATTCCCCGGGAAGCTCAGTGGGACACCTCCAGACAACGTCCTCCTGAGGCATTGTGCCTTAACGGGAGGCGGTTGAATGAGATGGCGGGGAGGTATCTCAAAACAATGGGCGTAGGAAGGCACTCGTCTCCTGGAATTCGACGACCAAGCGGGAAGAAGTTGATACCCCGCCTATTATCTTGATCGGGCCGGCAGTGTGAGCTGACAAGGATGCCTACAGCAATGTAATGAAGCCCTGTTCTTAGAATTCAGTAACAGCTAAACGTCATCAGTAATTTTCCAATTATATTTTAATGCCCATTTGCTGAGCATGAAATTTCTTCAGATCAACAAGTTTCTATGTAACTACAGAAAAAATTCCCAGTGGAATTACCTCGAGGAGTGGTGGTGTTTGTATTTTTTTTTTAATTGTGATTTTTAAGAGCTTTGCCCCTTGTGTCGATAAATTCGAAACTGTTGTTCAGGTGCCTAGTTCTCTTCATGATGGTTTCACAGGAGTTCTAATTAAAGAGCTGCTTTTCATCATCTCAGTCAGGAGCATGTCTCTCTTTCATCTTTCCATTATCTCCCATTGTTCAACAAATGTCCATTGCTTGTTGCAGACAGTGAAGCCCTTCTCCGCTATCGTCCTTTTGCAGTTCATAACCTTCACTACAATTACTGATGCCAGCTCCCACACTTTCCTCAGATTCCTTAAAAACTCATGCCATTTCTCCTCCAGCATCAGCCCCCAGAGCCACTGCATCATTCTGCACCGCAGCAGCTTTCTCTTCTGCCACGACTTTAGAAGCTGCTTAGTATAACAGGACAGCGGCAATAGCACCACATCCACCCAGTTGCTGTCGCTACGTGGCTACGAGGTTTCAGTGCTCTTCCAGACCTCCATGATCTGTTTGCTGAACGTCCTGTAACCAGTAACATGCCCTCTACAGGCAAGGTCTGTCCACGCCGGTTTTGCCATGCCGGTTGAGAGCGCAGTCACCCTTTTCGACGGTGAACTCGTGAAGCTGTTTTGACCGTCGTTTTATCGGTAACCACTAGACAAGGTGGCGAGAGTCGCCTCATGGGGAGGAGGGCTGCCCTCAGCCAGGCCGGGCCTCAACCGGCAGCATCGGCTCCCCCTCCCCAGTTTGAGTTTCTTCTGCGGAATGAAACCTTACAAGGCTGTCGGTGTCGGTGAGCCCCGCAGGACGCCAGAAGCAGGGTCCCCCACTCCACAGCCGCTATCCGCGGCCGGGAGCGACCTCTACTCCTGCCCACCTCGGGCCCAGCCACCTAAGCGTCCGCTCGCTACGCGGCGCCCGGCGCGGCCGGGTTGCAAGATAGAGTGGGCCGGGCGGCGCTGTGGGCCCCAGAGGGGCGGCACGGCGCGGAGCCTCCTCCCGGCCTGTTCTTCCCCGGCCGGACGGAGAGCGGCACTGTGTCCCCGCGGCGCACGCTCCACCGGAGGGAGCCTCTCCCTCTTCCCGGGCCACCACCGAACAGCTCCCCAGTCCCTGCGTCCGCCTCCGACGGAACCCGGCGAGCCGAGCAGCGGGAGGTAAAGCTCGGCGGGGTCTGGAGCGAAGCGGAGGGACCGGGGAGGAGCTTTTGCCTCCCCCCCCGGTCCCTATAGGGTGCAGGCCCCGAGCTGTTCGGCAGGGCCTCCGACGTCTCGGGGACTGGGAGGCGGCCGGATCATGCGGCGGCTGCTACAGCTCTCCCCCACTGGCGGCCGGGCGTGCGGGGTCCTCCTCATACCGTCCCCGTAGCACTGCGGGCCCGGGGTCGCCGGGAGCCCGTCCCCAGGCGTCACTGGAGGGGAGTTGCCTGCGGGTGGGAGGCGAGGCAGCGGGGCGGGTGTTGCGCGGCGGGTCCGCCCGCCAACCAGGGCTCGGCCGTGGGCCACGGGCCCCTATAGCTGCTCCTGCGCGACGAAGGGGCCGTGGCTGGGGGAACGTTGTAGCTAGCGGCTGGTGAGCCACTCCGCTGCCGGGCTGAGGCCTGCCCTCCACGGGGGCCTTCCTGTGGGCCTTGCCCCCGGAGCCACTGCTGTGTCGCCGTCGCGATGAGCGCTGCGGGCAGTCCTCGGCGTGAGGTGCCGGCTGCCTGCCTCTCTCTGTCGATGGCGGCGTAAGAGGTGCCGAGACTTCCCCTCAACGGTAGTGACTTCTACTCCCGGCATCCCCGGGGCGGCCGCGGTCCGGCCTGCCCTGCCAGCAGCTGGGGCCTGTGTGGCGGCCCTGACCCATGCAGGAAGGATCGGTGAAACGCTTCACACGTTTGTCCCCAGAAAACGATGTGGAGTGCCCGTGAATCCTGAAAGCACCTCGCAGAGAACAGAGCCCTGCGAGATAAATTCACCCCGTCCGAGATGAAATCAAAAGGTTTTTAGTACTTAGAGAGCTCGTTCGTTCTGAAGAGCTGAAACGTGTTTATCGTGTAATTATTCGTGTCCTTTGTAGTGTAGTATTCCCACGTGATTTGGACACGGTCGTAAGGTCACTGGGCCTTCGTAAGAGCCTGACTTAATGGGATAGGGAAAAAAATACTCTCGAGAGATACGAAAAATGTTTTTATACAGTGTTTTGACAATGTTTAGTGTGCATTGAGTCTTCTAGTAGGACGAGAATAATTCATGTAGAACTTAAGCAAAGAAACACTGAAAGTATTTTGAGTGCTTAAGGTAAAGTAGAAGAACAGAGAAGATAATCAGGTTGCTCTTCATCCATTTCAGCATCACTGAAATAAAAGCTTTAGATGGTACGTCTTGGCCTGTGGTTGAAGGTTGAAATACAAGCCTGAAGCAAATTACAGAAGGGCAGAAAAATTTAAGTATGGTATACGTTTGTAAGTAGACAGATTTAGCCATGATTCATCCAGGTACAGTCACCATGTGTTGCTTGTGTCATGTGTTCACAGGATTTTCAAGTTGCAGTAGTTTGTATTCTGTATATTAATGAAGAAGGGAATTTAACAGCATCAAAACACATCTTAAGAATTCCTTCATCTTTATAGGCTTTTTCCTGTCATGTTTTAGGTTTGTTTTTAACTCTGGGGTTGCCCTGTACTTTTTGTGGTCTCTATTTTATTTTAAAGAGCTCTCCCTCTATTGTGTTGGCATTAGTGTATTTTAGGAGAGCACCGACATATAGGGAAGCAAGATTCTTAGTATTAGCAACGTGAAAGTGCGTTTACCTGACAAATATGTTAGCCTTGACAGGGTATTGGGAAACATGGTACACTTACAGATGTTTATGGTGTAGGTGGATTGCTACCTGTGACATTGTCTGTTTTACAGACGATCATTATGTTGTCGTGAATTGGTTAATAAATACACTGCAATACTTCGGGGGTTTGTAGTTTTGAGGAATCGCATGGTGTCTTGTCTTTCACTCCTACCTGTGTACTGATCCGTAGTCCATGCTAAATGGCTGACATAATCAGTCTAAATATTGTTTTAAATAGTTTTCTACATGTGAATTTAGCTCTGGTAAAAGTTCCTGAATTACTAATCATTGGGGTTTAGGAAGTTGCTGCTGTTTTTCTTACAGAGGCTCTGCCACTATGAAAATGTCAGCAGGGTGTTACTTAGCTGTCAGTTACACTGCCTCTCAGAATTAAGTAAAGCCATACATTGGTATTTTCTCCTGAATCCAGCTGTGGTTATGGAAGAGGTTAAATTTTCCACCTCTTTCCTCTCACTGGGGATTTTTGATCTACCCCTGAGTTATTTTATGTAATTAATCTGTGTTCCATCTCAAAAATTGCCTGTGTTAACTCAAACCACCATTTAAAACTAAATAGATTTGGCTGATGTTTTTTTACAGTCCTATAAGTTGAACTCATGTGAGCTAATTTTTGAATGTAAATGACAAGTTTAAGCCTCTATCAAGTAATTAATGAGAGTAAGCTTTTTGTTGATGTACCTAGCTTAGGATGAGGTTGTCTGTCTTGATTTACATGAAGCTAATAGCTGTACAATGCTGTGTGTGTTATGTTCAACTGACGTAGTGGCTTCAGTAAGGGAATTGCATTTGAACATATGAAGTAGATATAATTGCCCTGATAGGTCTGTGTAATGTAGTTCCAGCCTGGGACCAGATAAGTGATTTTATTTTATTTTTTTCCCTAGAATATATTTAGGATGTCTACAGAAATAAGCTGTTTGCACTCCTGTCTTGCTTTCTTTCTGTGATTTGGTTTCTTGCTTTCTTTTCAAAGTTGAAATTGTGTGATGTGAGTTGAATCAGCATGAGTTGGCTAAGTGGAGTGTGTGTCACTGTAGTGTGTTCCTGTTTGTGAAATTCTGGACTACCTGTTACGTCGCTGTTGTATGTGGACAACTAGCAAAGTTCACAAACTGCTTTATGTCTCTTTCCAGCCTGATTCCTCAGCTTCTTTATGTGGCTGCTATTGTTCTAAAATCACTGGTTGATACATAACAGCTTACAGATTAATAGGTTAATAGATAACAGGTGAAAAAACTGGTTTCTGTTCCAGTGTACCTTGTGCTCTTATGCCCTAGCAGTCATGAGCTCATTAGTCTCCTGTCCTTGGAAGTGCTTTCTGCAGACCTGCATGCATCTTCATTTTGTTTCTGAATTTGAACCCATGCTGAAGTTAAGAAATTGTTTGTGATTCAGCTTTGTCTCAGTATACAATAAACCTTCATTTAGGGTCACAGAACTGAAAAGTGTGTAAGGTGGTTAAGAGGGAAGTGGCAGCTGGGGATCACCAGAGTGCAGCACTGTATGCATCATGGACTTGAAGGCCTTAAGCAGACCTTCAGGTAGGAAGTGATTATACTGCAGAAAGTTGGCCAGACAGTGCTGCCTTTGAATTATTCTGTGTATCTCACTCAAGGGAAACGTGTGGACTTGAGAAGCCCTTGTATGTGGAAGTACCAGAATCAAGACCTGGTCATATTGCAGAAGCCCTATTAGGTGTCTATGCAGGTGTGATTTAAACCCAGCCAGACAGCTCGTTCACTCACTCCCCCCCTTCTTGCCCTCTCCCTTCTCCTGGAGGGACAGAGAGGAGAATCGAAAAGAATGCAACTCCCACAGGTTGTGATAAGAACGGCTTAGTAACTAAGGTATAACACAAATCGCTACTGCTACCACCAATGATAATAATGATAAAGGAAATAACAAGGGAAGAGAATACAACACCTCAGCACCAGCTGACTGATAACTTGCCCCCCTGCCTGACCAAGCACCAACCCATATCTCCTCCAACCCCGCAGTCCCCTAGCCCTTCTCGGTAACTCCCAGTTACATCCTGGGCATGACGTGCTGTGGTATGGAATACCTCTTTGGTCAGTTTGGATCAGGTGTCCTGTCTCTGCTTCCTCCTGGCCTCCCCTCCTCCCTGGCAGAGCATGAGGATCACAAAGTCCTTGGCCAAACCAAAACATCATTGTTATCAGCTCTGTTCCCAGCCCGAAAGTCAAAACACAGCACTGCACCAGCTACTAAGAAGGAGAAAAATGATTGCTACTGCTAAACCCAGTACAGCAAGTCTGAAGATTCACGCTCTGGAGCCTGAGTCTTTGACAGCCACTTCCCTTTGTTCCCAGCGAAGTTGAAGTTGCAGCACCATCTATAAGAAGAAAGTAACCTGACTTCATTTGTGTCAACAGCTGAAGCAAGCCAAGAATCAGGGAAATAGCATTTGCATTTATTGCCAGCCCTGAGTGTTGCCAGTGCAGAAAACTGAAGTATTCTTTTAACGTTCCGCTTTCCCTTCCTTTATAATGCCACCTGCATGTGCGTGCCCATAATTGTAGAATACCAGGTTGGAAGGGACCTCAAGGATCATTTGGTCCAACCTTTCTCTGCAAAAGCAGGGTCCAGACAATATGGCCCCAAACTCCATGCTACTGTGATCACTGCAGCCAAAATCCTCGCATGACCCAAATACTGCTTTGTTGGCCTTCTCATCTTAGTTTGGAGGTTAGTAGCAGATGCCTGCTGTAAGATCCCTCTTGATGATAATCCCTGTGATCTTGAGCCAGAGGCATTTGGTAGGGCTTCCTAGCCTTGAATTACAGGGCCGGGCACTGCTGTCTGTGTGATGGTTTTTCAGAGACAGGTGTGTATGAAGATTCGTTTGGAGAGGGTGTGAAAGGAAATCCTGTTCTGCTGAGGAGCTGTAATTCCACAGATGCTTTACTTTTATTCACTGCCCTTCAGCGTCACTTTTGGATGGAGTCTCTGGAAGCATGGTGGGGGCAAGGATCAGCTCCATGTGACAGGACTTTTCTCATTCCAAATCCTTCTCTCCCTCATGCTGTTTTGTCATGTGGAGCAGAAATGCAGTCTTAAGCAGCAGTACCAATTGCAGGTGTTGAACTGCAGAAGCACCACCATAACCAGAAATCTGGTCTCCTTTGTGCAGCCTGTTAAATTGCTATAGGGGCTGAGCATAGGTCACTGCAAAGCAGCTGAGCTGTGTGGTCTTCACTGGGGACAGCCCAGGTAGCCTGAGAGCTCTGCCTCCTGGAGGATCTCCCCTCAAAACTGAGATCATGTATGAGCATGGGAGGCTATCAAACAACATAGGAGGGAAGCTGTAGAGGATCTCCTATCTCTATTTCTCCTAGGGCTGGAAAGGCATTTTGCAGATACTCTTTATGATTTTCTGAACACCCCTCCCCCCCCCCCCAAAAAAAAGTCCAAAACAATAACAACAGAAAACCCCCACACCCACAAAAAAAAACCCAAACCCAACTTCCCGCCCTCCCCCCCCCCCCCCCCGCCCAAATCCCAACCAAACAACAAAACGTACAAACCCCAAACGGAACCAACCCAAAACCCAAGCAACAACCTTTTCCTTAAACAAGGAAAACAACTACTTTTTGATTTTTTTCTGGCTTGTCAGGCTCCGTTTTCTGCACACTCTGTAATCCAAGGCTACTTATTTTGCCATGTCCCAAGCTTTGACCTTCAGCACACAGCAAAAGGAAGCCAGTACAAAAGTATTTGTTGCCAAGCAGACCTGGTGCTGGAGAATGCACTTGCTGGTGGCTCTTTTGCTATCTCACTGCTTTAACCATGTGCACCCAGCAAGAGATCTATCTGTATTTGGGAGCTTGGAGGCATGTATCAGGAGCAGCTTTCTGCATAAAAGGAGACCGTGTGATGTGGGGTTTGGCACCTTCTGTCACCTCTCAAGCACCAGCTGACCAACTCAGCCTTCTCCTGATGTGGCATGTGAAGAAGAGCCTTTGAGTCCTTCCTAGCAAACATGGCTCTGCTCTTCCTGAAAGGTGTATTTACTTCCTAAACATTTGCTTCAGATGAGTTTGTGCTGGTTTGGTTGAACTGTGTGTGTAATTGGAGAAATTTTTTGTTTCATACTCAAAGTTTTACTTTTTGCAGTTGCTTCAAAAGAATCTCTCTAGTCCAGGCCATGCACAAGGCTCAAAAATCACAACAGTGGGAAAAAAACCCTAGCAGAGCAGGTTGCGTAAAACAAGTGTTTTGAGATGTGTATGTTAGTGTATTGCACTTGGACAGAATGTGATGTGAAAATAGGACCTTAGTTAAAAGTGTCGAAATAGCCAAAGCCCTCGGAACAACTGATGGGAGTAACACTGAGTGGGAGAAGGAAAAGAGCAGCAGAGATTTTGGAAGTGTTTTTAAAAGTGCATTGTCTCTAGCTGGGTATAGATTTTCACATTATGTAACAGTGTTTAGGTGGCCTGTTCCGTTGCTGACTGCTGGCAGAAATGGAGGAGCACAAAAAGCTCCCAAACTGCCTCTTTTGCTACTGTTACGCTTACTGAGAAGAATGTGCTGGAAAGCATTTCATTTTTTTCTTCCCTTTTTTGCCTTTTGTTTTTTAGGGAATAGACTCAAACGTTGTCCTCAAAGAAAAGCTTTTATAAATACAGCTACAGGGTACAATGATTTGGTCCACTTCGATTTCATTGGCTGCTTTTTTTTCCTCTTGTGCTTGTATTTAAATACTTGCTTTGCCTCATTTATGAGTCTTCAAAGTGCAAGAAAACAAATGCGGAAATAACCTTTGTTTTTGAATGTGTGTGTTAGAACCTGATTCAGACAGCAGAAGTCTGAGTAGTGGAAATCCAGTAGCATTACACTGTTAGCAGGTACACTTTAGCCTGTTCACTCTGTTCTAGGCTGCATTTATATTCACAGACGGAATGTTCTGTAAAATAGCTGAATGGCATTTCAGCCTTTCTTGGTGTGGTTTTTGTGAAGCTCATGTTTGGGAGTGGGGTGAATAGCATTTTCTGCCTACAGCTGGTGCTTTATTTCGTAAATTTGGACCTCGTCATAAAGTTCTTTCTTACATGAAGTGCTCTATATGTTTTGATGACAATTTTTAATGGCTGGCATAGTGGATGGAGGGTAGATTTAAAAAAGGAGGCAGGTTTCTCTGACTCTTGTGAAGGCTGCTATAAGGTAATTGAGCCATCAGTGTGCTGTGGTAGGAATGCTACAGAGTATTTGTGCCAAAATTTTTACCTGACTTAAGTGTCTATGCTCATAGATTGTTTAGTTTGGGTTTTTTCTTTGTTTGTTTTATTTTGTTTTGATTGGAAGACTTGTCAGGAAAATGAGCTCTAGGCTAATATGTGCACTGGAATTAAGTCAGGCTTTGTGTAGATCTGACATCTTTGGTGTGTACACAGTGGATTAAGAGTTTGCAGCCACTTTGATGAACAGAAGTGCGGCTTTTTAGCATTGATGGGGCACTGCAAGTTAGTGGTGTAAGTAACATATTCTGATTTTGATGTACCAGGTTTACTTTGCCTAATTCCCCACATGATGGAACAAATCTTTTCTTGACCTGCATGGATATGTAGACCTTTTCAAGATGGTTAAGAACTGTGGTGAAGAGCCATGTGGAAAGACAAGTGAGGAAACTTACTTTTATTTCTAACTAATTCTGCTGCTGTTACCTTATTTACCTGATGTTAGTCAGCTTTTTTAGAGAAATCAGTAGTTGAAAACAAGAAGGTATTCTTACACTTAAGAAAACTTACATTTGAGCTCCACCCAGCTTGTTGGGTACTTTGTCAGTAAAATGTTAGCTGTGCTTAATCTACTAAAACAGTTATATATATTGACCAGTATTAAAGCTTTGCTTAAAGTTTTATGGTCTGTGAGCAAAACATCAATTTTAATTTGTGTTCTGATCGTTCTTTTGTCAGGAGGGACATCCGCTTCTGCTGGCATCTGAACTGTATGTTTGAAACTATGGTTTCCTGACAGAAGAGTGCGTTATATTTTTTTACAGCAGATCTTTGTTAAATGTGCTGTCGGTGGTGGTTTTGGAAAGATGAGAATGGACCCACTGCAGGGCAGCTCAGTGAAAGTAAAAATGTAAGTTCTATGCTGTTACTATGTTTTTTGAATTACTATTGGTTGTTTTTTTTTTCAGTCTCCAGTATGTCAGTATATACATATGTGTGTTTTTTGAAATCTAGGTGTTGTGGTTTAACCCCAGCCAGACAGCTTGTGCACTCACTCCCCCCCCCACTTCTTGCCCTCCCCCTACTCCTGGAGGGACGGAGAGCAGAATCAGAAGAAATGCAACTCCCACAGGTTGAGATAAGAACAGTTTAGTAACTAAGGTATAACACAAATCACTACTGCTACCACCAATAATAATAATGATAAAGGAAATAACAAGGGAAGAGAATACAACACCTCATCACCAGGCGACCGATAACTCACTCCCCCCTGCCTGACCAAGCACCGACCCATACCTCCTCCAACCCTGCAGTCCACCTAGCCCCTCCGGGTGACTCTCCCTTACCTCCTGGGCATGACGTGCTGTGGTATGGAATACCTCTTTGGTCAGTTTGGGTCAGGTGTCCTGTCTCTGCTTCCTCCCAGCTTCCCCTCCTCCCTGGCAGAGCATAAGGCCCACAGAGTCCTTGGCCAAACCAAAACATCATTTTTATCAGCTTTGTTCCCAGCCTGACAGTCAAAACACAGCACTGCACCACCTACCAAGAAGGAGAAAAATGATTGCTACTGTTAAACCCAGGACACCAGGAAATGCAGATGACCATTAGGTGATGTTTTATGTAGTTTGGAATAAAAAATTGCTTAAAAAAACCCAAAAGCAACCCAACATTTTAAACAAACAGAAACCCCACAGAAACCCAAAATCAACAGGAAAGCCCCAACCCCAGGATCAACCTGGATTATGTGCATGAAGTTAAGCTTCCTTAAAGTGATCGCAGAAATTTACAAATGGATACAAATCTGGCAGCTTTGGTCATATTGGTGAAATGTTACATTGTATCAAGGCCAGAGACTTCCTTTGTCTTTAAAAAAGGAATGAAAGTAATACTGACAACGTATTTGTCATTTGAACTTGATCACAGTTAAACCAGAAACATACTCTGCTGCTGGATGCTTTTAGTAAACCTTGACTAGAGGTTGGAATGTTTTTTTCTGGTCTGTTTGCTTGAAAATAAGTTATTGTTAATGACTTTGAAAAATTATGTTTACTGCTGATTGTTTTACAGTGAAGTATTTCTTTATGAATACTTTTGATATCTACTAAGGCACTATAAAGTAGTTTAGTCTCTCTTTATTTTGTATGACCTGTCTCTTCTTGAGTACTACCTGTTTCTTCCTTTACTTGAGATTGTATGTATAATAGGACTTGCACTCAGTCCATTTTACTTGAGAATTTTAAGACATCTTGGAAATGCAAGGTACTGTGCATGGTTCTGAAGAAGACATCCCAGTGTAAAGATGTATGGGATGTGTCAGGCCTTCATCTGATTGTAATTCAGCAACTGCATATACATTTTCATGTTACAGTGAAATGAAATGGTAATGCCTGTCTTAAGGTCGAGACTTACATTGTTTTCCCAGACATTTCAGAATTCACATGATGCCTAATGTTGTTTTATAGTGGCTTTTGTCTGATTTTGTAAAAATACAAGTTCTCCAACAATATATAGCAGTTCTTAGAAAGCAGAGGGCATTTGCTATAGAAGACAAAATATGTTTAGCTGGATGAATTTAATGTAGCCTCAGTGTAAACACGACTCGTGCCTTTTAGCCTCGTTTTAGAAAGGGCATTTATACCCTTATTTTTTTTAATTTCTTCAGAGTTCTAGGAGAATTCTGAGCAAGTTTGCTGATAATAACACTACCGGTTAGCAATGGGATGGCTTGTGTATGGCAAGTGTATGTTAGCAGTTACTTCCTAGAATAAATGAAATCTTACATCTTTTAAAAATAAGAGGGTTATTGGGGATTCCCCGTCTGCGCTTAGATTTTTGCAAGATTTAGATTATGTGTCATAAGGAAGAGTACACTTCAAATTTTTCTAAGGACAACTTACATTTAAAGTTAAAATTTGCATTAGCTGTGTAATGTTTTGGCTTTTTATCTTTTTCATTTTTTCCCCTTAGTGTGAGGAACCAGACCAGGATGACTGTTATACTATTATACTATTATTTCAGATTAATTTCTTCAGTGAACAATTGTATTAATGAAAATAAAATGGAACCTTTTAGAATATGACTCTACAAAGGAGTTTCTGTACACTAAGTACAGTGATTTAAATTTACTCCATGTTTTATGGAAGAATTTTCTTACATGTTTTCATAAGACTGTGATACTTAATCAATTAGTTTATGAATTTAGATAAGAGAGTGAAAAAAATGGAGAGGGAAGGGGAAAGAAAGCATGTTGCATATTTTTCCCCTCTTCTGTATGACTGACATACATTTTGTATTTATTGTAAACATCTTTCTTTATTTCTTTCCCCTAGGTAATTATAAACACATTCTTAGAACTAGTTTATGAAACAATTGGTTTTCCTTTCACTGGAAGGTTGAATGTTGTTGGTAAGATGCTGTGATTGAGACTTGGGATCTTGGTCCATCCTCTTGCTGTGCCAGGTTGGGCACTTTGTTCTGTCCATCAAACAGAAAAGCGTGTTGTGTTAGGTTGATTGCATCAGTGCCTGCCTATTTCTGTAGTGACTGGACTGCTAGCAATGGAATCTGATCTCCGGCTACGTGTGTCTGTGCCTTCAGAATGTCTGTGATGAATCCATCCAGATCCTTAGGGATAGCAGTACTGGAACAGGCAACACATGAGGCTCATAATCTGCTGTCAGAAATAAACTGTGGCCAGCTAGAAGGATTAAAGTGCCCTAACCTGACAAGTCTACTTTTTCTCTTCTAAGTTGGTAGGATTTGAAAATTATCTTACTTTGTAGAGAACCTCTTTATTTGTAAAATTGCTTAATTTGTAAGGTCATTTTCATACAGGCAGATTCTTGATTATATGCTTGTTTGTGGTAGTTGAATTACATTGGAGACAAATAGGAGGAGATCTTTAATATCAGGAGATGTGTATTTCTGAAGAACTATGGATGAGGACATGCTCGTTGATTTTGTTTTGCTTTGGTTTTAGAGATGAAGTTGAGACTGCCACAGGAGTACTGTTTTTCTTCAGTGCTGAAATGAAACAGCTGTTTGCTCTAATTGCATGTGTGTCGAATGATGGTACCCAGAACTGACAAGCAAACCTCTGAGTATATTGCAGCCTCTGGCTAATTGTCTAGAATTCCCCTTCAGTGTGTTCAGCACAGCTCTGTTCTTATAAATCATTATGTTGTTACAACTCCATTTCCATCTTGGGGAAAGAAAAAAAAAAAGAAACCAACCAACCAACTCTCATCCACAGCAGATTAACTGATTCATGTTATCCAGAACCAATGAATGTAGCTGAGCCAAGACTGGCTGTTGGGTTATTTAAAATTGTTTCTTCTTTCATATTAACTAATTTTCAGAGAAACGTGAATCTCTGAAAAGTCAAGTCTCTAGATAAAACCCTCTGTGAAGTTCAGGGCCTGATCGTAAAAGCAAGCAGAAATCAGTCCTTTCATTTGAGTGTGTTAGTATTATCTCTCACAGTACAGTGTTTTTTGTATGTGCGCAGGCATCTATTTTTATATACTTCTGTTGTGCTTGTAATATCAAGAGAAGATATTCACCAGGAATCTGTCCAGGAATTTAATTGAAAATATTGTGGTAAACAAAAGAGATTCTGTCAAAATACCAGTGCAATACTGGCCATGGTAAATACCTTATTTAAATGAAATCCTTGGCAATGCCACTCTATACTTTTGGTAGGTTTAACTATTTCTACAATTCTATTAAGACTTTAGATGGAGACATGGGACAAAATGTGGATCTGTGTATTGCCTTAGCGTACGTAAATGTAGTGGGTCACCAAGGTTTTGACTTTTGTGTGTAAGTTCTGAGGTAACTGATGTCTTTTTCCCTTCTGCTTTTTTCCCTTCTGTGATTAACTGCAATAAACAGTTTATGCCTCAATAACCCTGAAGTAATGCACTGTAAATTCACTGGTTGATATTGATGCAGACTGAAGTGTGTGACTTCATTTGGTCATTAGAATAAGGCATCCTAATAGATAGTGGAATACACAGCCTAATGCAGGAAATACTTCCCTATAGGATATTCCCTACCCAATGTAAGGCAGTCAGTAGTTAAAAGTCCTAGCTTTAGAATGTGTTTTTCAACAGCAGGTCCTTTCAGGATTGATTGTTGTAAGAGAGATGGATTAAAACACTGGCAACACCTGGAATGTTCTGCTTAAAGCCTCTTGGTGCTCAGTAATGTTAGGGTATACATAAAGAATACTTTTCTCCCTTGCAGGATCTTTTCTTTGTCACTGAACCTATTTTAGTGAGGAACAATCACAGTTTTTTAGCACTGACACATTGTGTGAAGTTAGGTCTCTACTTTTTTACTGGCTGGAGGATGAATCAATTAGAAATACAAGTTTGAGAAACAGGACTTGCTGTAACTTTTTTTTTAATAGTTTTGCTTGACTACTTTTTTTTGTGACAGTAGAGAATGGTGTAAGGGTGGATGGCTAATCAGAGAGGTGAACCAAAAAAGTATAATGAAAAAAAGAAGCTGCAGTTGTCCTAGCTCAGTCTGGCTAACTAGCATCTTCCATTGTCATTTCTCCTTTAGTTTTGGAAGTCCGCCTCTTCCTGTGTAGTTTTCCTTGTCATGCATTTCAGACTTCCCTGACCTCTTTGTTGTTTCAGGTTCATCTGTCTCATTTCTCTGTCTAAGGTCCATACATATATGGTAGAAACTTCTGGGATCCTGCAGTTGTCAGGTTTTTTTATGTAAGTTCCTATGACTTGGGAATGGAACATCCACACATTCTAAAACTTCTCTTGGTAGTTGGAAGAGATTGCTAGAAGTGCTGTCCAAATCTGGCACTGATCTGGCATTTTCATTTGATTGCCAATGATCCAGGGAGAGAAGGACTAAGTGGACTTAGAAATGCTGCCGTTGATTTATCTGCACATGTTGAATCATGTTGAATTGTCATCACTGGCAAAATGATGTATCTTTATATACAAACAGGTATTTTATGGCCCACTCAGTAACTGTTATCACTAAATAGTGACTCTTTGCTGTAATTAACTTCAGATTCTGAGCCTTACCAAAGTTTGCTAGTCTTCTTGTAAAAATTATAAATAAGTTTATTATGAGCTTCACTAGGACACAGCAGAGCTTTGATGTTATTTGATATAAAGAAAAAAGTGAGACCACACCATACTCTGTGCTTGTACTTCAATTAATAACTTTCCTTTTCTATACAAGATTAATGCAGTGATTGCAGTTATTATAGATACCATAATGTAATAACTAATTTATTCAAAGGCTTTCTGGCAGACGTGGGGGGGTGGACAGAAGCTTCTTCTGGCTTTATGGCTTATAAAGCTGTTAAAAAAGTTTCAAGATCTCCCACAGGATGAGACTGGAAGGCACTTGTGGATGTTACCCTGCTCAACCCACTGCTCAAGCAGGGTCACCTGCAGCAGGTTGCTCAGGGCTGTGTTCAGGCAGGATCTGAGAATCTGCATGCTTGGAGAGTTCACAGTGTCTCTGGGGAACCTGTGCTGGTGTTTGAACATTGAAGAACCTCATCTTGTTACTCTTGATAAATCACGGTGGGGTGGTAGGAAGTAATGAAGGACTTTTGGAAGATTTGGAGATGTCTGTTATATTTTCCAGTACTTGTGTAAGAGGGGCAAAAATTCTGCATGTTAACAGAATCTATGTGTTCCATAATGTTAACTGGTCATCAGTAGGTGTTAGCAGAGGAGTATTTGTGAACTGGCTGCCCTGCACTGCTGCTTCGACTCTTCTGGATTTTTCTTTTAAACTCCCATTGTATTTGTTTTTTCTTCCAGACACAGATGAAATACCTACTTAGTTGGGGAATAAGGCTGCTGTTTAGCTGTTGGCCATTTGAAAAGAAGAAAGGCAGCCTTCTAGAAAATGCTTTCCAGGATCCTTATGGTTTTTTTTTTTGTTGTTGTTGTTTTTTGGTTTGTTTTTTTTTTACCTTTTAAACAGGAGACATGGAAATGTGACTGTGTATTTTACTGAAACTTCTCTGTTCTCTTTTTTTCCAGGTCTGCTATTTCTGTTATGTGTATCCCAGTTACGAGGAGTTTTTTGTGATTTCTGAGCTTGGTGCTGTCAGCCTCATGTGAACAAATTAAAGCAAAAACCAAGCTGAATTTTGGAAAAAAAAATGCCACGGAAAAGGAAAACTGGTGGGAGCCCTTCTCTGAAGAATGGCAATTATGACAGAACTGTTGCTGTAGCCCAAGGGGACCCAAGCTTTTCACTGTCACAAGCAGTGCATAGTGTCAATAAGGAAAAGCTCCTGAACAGCATGTCAGAGATGTTTTCTGACCTAGATCCTACTGTGGTTTATATGGTTCTGTCTGAATGTGATTTTAAAGGTAAATAATGTGCAGTTATTGTTACAGTTTTGTTGCATGTGCAGGCAGCTGTTAACTAGGGTGACTCCAGAAATGTTGGTGTAGGTGTTGCAAGCATATTTGTGAGTTTAGCTTTTAATGAGCAGGTGAGTCATAATATTTTGAAATGTTATAGCTTCTTCCTTGCAGGATTCTCCCAAGTTTGACAATGTTTCCATGAGGCTGGTAACTTGCTGTAGCAGTGTGCTCCATATAAATGGAAGTGCAGTTTAAGTGGTTTGTTCTGTGACAGAGCAGGCAGTTACAGGCTTGTGAGGAGAGTCTTTTTTCTTTTCCCATTTAGTTTCTATGCCATACCTGGTAGGTGCACAAACTGTCTCTGCAAGAGGCATATTTTGCGTTCTAGACCACATTTTTTTTTAAGACAGTGGTACACTGTATGTGGTCCAGGCAGCGTTTGCTTTTCCTTAAATACTTGAATTGAGCTTTTGTTTCACTTTCTGTTTTGCACTGTCATCTTGTCATCTCCACTGAGGATTAGTTTTTGCAGGATAAATTCTGTTTGTTATATTGATTTCTCTGCAACCTTGCTTGGACTATGTTTCTTCCTCTGTATTCTGCCAAGCTACATACCCGCTTCTCCTGGCAGACTACTTTCATGTCTGTGCCTAGTCCTTCCCATGCTTGTGTGGTTTTGAAATTCTGTGTGTAAGCTCCTTAGCATATAATAAAAGTAATGGATAAGATGCAGGAGTTATAACATCTGAGGAGTTACTTGGGGGGGGGGGGTAAGTCATATATGGAGCATTTTAATCAATTTGTATTTGTGGTATCAGATGTGATTAGCTGAGTTTTATCTAAGAGCATTTTGCAAAGAAGGCAGGGATTGTTAATTTGTATATGTATGAAAGCTGGGTAGCTATTAAAAGGACTGCTTTTATTGCCAATTTTACTTTACCTAAATTGCACAGAGTTTATATCTTAATACCACTCTCATAGTTGTTGCTATGATTGTTGTTTCTTTTAAAATGAAAATTGATGGAATTACTGAGTCATGCTTTGAACTCTTAATAAGATTTACCTTTATCAAAATAACAGATTTATCTAGAGGCTTATTGAAGAATTCAGCAAGCACACTGAGTTCATTATTGTGTTGTACTATTAACAATAGTATGAAAATGGAAAGACTAGCATCTTTTCATATAAGTAATAACAAGTTTCATACAGTAGAGAAGATGGAAGGACAAGGAAGGTTTTGTTTAACATGTGCAGAGAGCATTGGATTTCAATGGAATTAGACTTCTTGCTACACTGTCTTTCAGGAAAACAGGAGCTTAGCTTTAGGGCTCAGTGATACTTGTGCCAGGTTTTGATCTTATTCATATTGGTCATGGGCAACCTGTACTCCATTTGGTGGCTTTACAGAGAATTAATGTAGGTACTGGGTTTTTTCAGGGTAGGTTAGATATGACATTTTCTATTGGTCCTAGCCATAATGAATGTATTTTGTGTGCTTTTATCTCTTTTGTCGTCAGAAGTGTTTTCCAGTTCATTTTACACTGCTTAGGCTATGTAACATAGGTTAGAAGTAAGTACCCATTTAAACATCCAGTTCTGATATTTTTTCCAGTTAAACTGGATAATTTTTAGACATTATTTCCTTAGTAATTTATATGCTTATTAGGTTATTATTTTGCAGTGAGCGGTGAGTTCTGCCTTTAGTGAGAAATAGATGAAAGGAGTTGCAGAAGGTGTGTTAAAAGATGAATTGGTGAACTGTTTTTTGGTTGTCTCTTTAGTTGTGATAAGTACTCCTTGTAGTAAAAATACTGCATTCGCATTAATTTATGTTTGTTCTGTTGACCATGCTTTATTCTCTTTACCTTATTCAATAGTAGAGAACGCTATGGATTATCTGCTAGAGCTGTCCACTCATGCTGAAGGAGTAGGATCTTCAAAAACCTTGGATTTTGATACAGTAGCACCATCGCTAGCTCTTGTTAATCAGCAAAGATCTATTGCAAATGAAAGAAGGTGGCAAAGTACTGCAGAACAAAGTAACTCTGAAGAAGGGATGGAAGAGGTCCTATCGAATGATGTGCAGCTCACTGAAGAACTGGATTCCTTAATAGAAAATTCCTTTCAGAGATACAGCTTGAGTGATGAATTGCCCAATTCTGCAAATGACCAAATAGTACATAAGCGTTCTGTGGAACACAGTGGCTTTAATGAATTTCCTGAGTGGGAAAAATCTTTTTCAGGTTGCAGTCTTCTACTTTTTCCACAGCAAACAGGGACAAACAATGAGGTTTTAGAAAACTTCTGCTGTTCTCAGCCACCAGTGAGTCAGCTAAGTGTCCATACAGGGTCACCAACTGCATCTGACACTTCTGCACAAATACAGGAAGATTCTGATTTGTCAGAAATACATACTCAGCATGATGTTGCTTCAGAAGTCTATAAACAACCCAATGGAGAAGTACCTTGTGGAAATTCTGATCAGACACAAGATACTGTTTTGGATCAGAAAAGCGTGACTGCTGCTTCTGGTGAGTCCTCCCAAAGACCTCTGGAACTTGAAGTAGCTGTCACTGGAAATCCTAATTCAAGATGCCTGGAACAGCACGAAGAGGTAGTGACTGCCTTTAACAGCCACCAGGGTACCTCTCTTCCAGAGGCATATACCTCTCTTGAAACATCCATGTTAAAGACACCAGAACCTGTAGATTTTCAGCAAACTCAGCAGGGTTATAACTTAAACTTTTCCCCACTGTCATGTCAGCCTCAACAACACTGGAATCTCATGGCTCCTGTGTTTTATCCATCCAGTGGAAGTCACAGCTTTGTAACTCCTGTGGCTGTCAGTCCAGGGCAGTGGAGACCTGTTTCAGATTATAGGACTTCAGAAAAAGAACATCATTTTTCCTCTCCAGTGGTTTCAAATGCTTGGGATAGCAGCCTTTCTCAGAAGCTACAGGAAAATCAAGATAGAAACTCCAAATTGAACCTCTCACAAGCACAGCAGTCACCTGTTTGTCACATGATGAGAAAAAGGATGCACCTTATAGGTCAAGTACTTGTTCTTCTCAGAGGTGTTCCAGGATCAGGAAAATCATATTTGGCAAGGTAGACCATCTACATTGTGAGCTTCTAAAAGGAACTGTTTAATTGTGAACAGGATTTAGTGCAGGCAGAGACAGTTTTCTGCCATTTATAAATAGTTATGCTTATACCCTAATCTCCAGCTCCATGGTACATGCAGCATGATGAGTAATAATAATTGTGGAGAGCTGAGTTGCTTGCAGCTCCTTGACCCCTAAAGGAAACTGAAATAAGAAGGGTTAGCTTTAACTGCTGTCACTAGCCAAAGGAGTTTGTGTCACCAGAGGATCACTGCATTAGTATTAGGCCTGCTGTGTTCTTCCAGTCCCTGCTCATTTCAGGTGTTTCCTTCCAATCACATGAATGAAAACATGCCAGCTCTTTGTAGGCAGAAATTCCCTTTCAACTCTTGGAATTCTTTTGTGTAAATACTATGTGTGGAGCTTCATGGGTTGAATTCTTGATATCTTTTCTAATGCTCCAAAAGGCTAGCTTGAGCTTTGACTCCTCTGGCTGGCACCTGAAATACTGGGTGCAATTAACACTGTGTGTATATTTGTCAGTGTGAAAGTATGTCATCAGATGCAGATGGAAAAATACCTCCCTTGTTGTTTTGAAATGAGACTTGCAGGGAACCTCTGCCAGCTCTTTTTTTGCCTAGATATCCCCAGCCTTTAGAAAAGAAAGGGCATTATTATATATCATCTTTGGAGGATGTTTTCCCCCCCCTTAACTGCTTCCATTCCAAATAATTTTGGTTTAGTGCAAGATATTAAATACATGTATGTATGGTAGAAGATAACACGCCTGGGGAGGAGAAGCAGGAAAAGCTATTTACTTCTTGATATTTCACAGGACTTTGCTTGAGGATAACCCAGGTGGAATCATTCTTAGTACTGATGATTACTTTTATAAACATGGACAATACCAATTTGATCCCAATTGCTTAGGGGAAGCACATGACTGGAACAGGAAACGAGGTGAGAAATAAGGGATTAGCTTGCTCCTTTACAGTTCAGTGCTTGTGTGCTGTTTTAAAAGCTGCCTGTCTTGTAATGCCTGTCTCACAGATCAAGCATTTATGCCATCGTAGAAATATTTTTTTAATATGTGTGTGGAAAAAGAATATGAGCACAAACTCAGAAGTTATCTCTCCGTTTTGGAATTAAAAATGCCAGTGTTTGTGTCAAAAGATTGTTTTGCTTCAGATTTCATCATGGTTGTGTCCTGTTTCCGGAGTGCTAATCTGTACCATCTCCCAGCAATACTTCTTCTGAGATGAGCCATTATATATGCATATGCAATAAGTAATGAGGATAAAGATACAAATAACATTTACACAGATAATTTCCTGCTCTTGACTTTTTTTTTATCTTAAGCACTAAATCATTGGCAAATTTAAAACAAATTTAAATTGTAAGAGCAAGACAGAAGAAATACTGTTTTTTTTTCTCCTTTCCATAATTGGTGTATTTTTTTTATATTGGCTCCCACGAAGCGTATCACAGAACAATATTTTTAAGCTTCTATTTGCCAAATTTGAACCATGATAAGTTTTCTACTATCAAATTTCTAACCAGTGTAGAAATGGGTTAGTAAGAAATGTATGATTCAGTGATAACTTCAGTTGTTCAGACATACTGTAACATAGCTACAGAAACATTGTGCTATATCTCAAAGCACTGATTCTAAACATTCCATTGCTGTGTATTTAAACTACAATAATTCTTTCGCTTTTACATATTTTATGTAGTCTTACAGAGTGGACTATTCTTAAGACTGCTATAAAGTCAAGGATTTTGTATGCAACAAAAGTCCACTTTAATGGGATCATGTGGGTTTTTTAGTTGAATTTACTGATTGGTTAGTCATCTTGGTGCATTTTACATCTGCATTCTCATTCCTTGATTATCATACATACGTTAATTCAGAAGAATAATGCTGTATCAGTAGCTTTACATGTGAGGGGGGCATTTCTGAAAGAAAAAAAAAAAGAAGGGCCTTGAAACAGATCAAGCTGTGATGAGAGTTCTTTACACAGTGGTTAATCATTATGGATTATCTACTTTATAAAATAGAACAAATTTAGAGCATTAGTATAAATGCTATATGTCCACCATTTTATAGTGAAATTAACTATATTGCGTTCTTTTGTGCATGTGTCTTTCAGCCAAAGAAGCATTTGAAACGAGAATCTCTCCCATAATAATAGACAACACAAACATACAAGCATGGGAGATGAAGCCTTATGTTACTTTGGTTAGTATTACAGTTTGATCAACGTGAAAAGGGATTATTGACCAGCATGGCAACAACATATGTTTTAGAATGAGATTGTCTTTCTCAGACTAGCTGTTGCTCCACAAGGAAGTCTGGAATAAAAAAAAAAGTGTTACATGGAATCATATTACCCAGTGTCATATTCTGTGCGTGTCAGAGCATTGACGTGGCCTACTTTCCAAGTGACAAAACCAAGTGCATTGTACTTGGGTCAAAAATAAACATTGTTGTGGAAACTGAATTCTGTTCCTCTTTTATATGATCAGTGAAATTATAAACTACTTTAAAAATATGATCAGCACTAATTAATGAATGATGTTTGATGTTCCGTGAAACTTGAAAACGCAGTCTTAGTTTCATCCTAAGTATGACATAGAGGCAGATGTCTCCTACCATGGCATGTAAACACATTAGGGAGTGTAATACATAAAACTACCAGGTTTTGAGCAGATAGTGTATGTATGCTGCATGTGGTAATGGATTATCTTTGATAATACAGTGGGACTTAACACAGATAATTTTATCAATAGAATTTTTATTTTATTATCCTTGCATTTATTAACAATTTTCAGATTAATAGTTCTTTCATAAATTAAATCCTTGATTTTGCTGTATACTGAAATAAAGATATAACAAAAGTTCTTCCAAGAGGTGCAGGGTTTGGTGAGGTAACAAGATTTATTTCTGAAAACAGTAACAGAGAGAAGTGGCACAGTACTCTCAGTGTTTCTCCTGATTAGACTTAGGTCTCATTTTCTGTCATGATGAGACTAGATGACGTAAGGACCATTTACATGCAGTGCACTCAAGTTTCCCATATGGCAAGACGCTGTCCACAGTGACTGTGTTAATGTAACTGAATTGCTTGTTTTGGAGCTGGCTTGCAGCTGGTCAGCTCTGAATGTAAGCAGAGAGCTTTTCTCTCTCGGAGATGTGCATACTATCCCTGGAAAGAGGAGAAGTTCTGCAGTCTTGACTCAGAGAAGGTAGAACATTCAAAGGGGGGATATAAAATGATGATTTTGTTTGTTTGGTTTTGTGATCATGGCACACAGTTTTACAGTAAGAGAAGCAAATACATATTTTTAAAAATCTCTGTTTATATAAGCAGAAGCGCAACATTGAACAGAAGTATGTTATTCCAAATGTTTAGTTGGTTTTGAAAAGCACAAAAAACAGCTTTAAAGAAGCAGGCTATACATGTGTGCTTGTTCACAGGAATAAGAAGTGGATGATGTGGCTTGTTCTGTTTTTTATCTGTTTTATTCAGGCTCAGCAGTTCAAATACAAAGTTGTGTTCCGAGAACCAGGCACATGGTGGAAGTTTAAACCCAAAGAGCTTGAAAGGTAAGATTATAAAGGAGAATTTCATATTAGATTGTATATCTTTCACAGACTATGATTTTTAAAAAGGCACCACTTAGTGCAGTGGCTGGTGAAGTAGTCAAGATTTTTGTGGTATTAAGTGTCTTTTTAATAATTTTTTTTTCCACAATATTAACTTTTCTGGTATTTTATATGCATTATGAGATGTTTTTCACTGTCACTTTATTCTAATTCTATACAAAAGCAATAGATATTAGGTAATGTTTTCATGATTGCAATTCTTTTGCATTTAAGGTACAGTGACTGCTCCTTTGAGTTCCTGAGGTTACAAAAATGGTGTCAGGTTGAGACTGGTTTTGCATCTGGCTGGTCTGTTGCCTTACTTGAAATGTTTCTGCTGTCACTGAGTTTAAAGCAGTCAGTACCTCACGAGAGGGACAGACCCCTGTGCATCGTCATTATTGTTTACCTCATCTTTAGCAGGACCTTCTACACACTCATAGAGCCATTACGTAGAGCCAAAATAGGCAAGATGTAAACCCTGTGTCAGTGAATAATATGTACCTAGAAAATTGGCTGGTTGCCAGGTTCAAAGGGTCTGAAGTCCAAGAGGAGGCTGATGTACCTCTAGGATGAATGCTAGGGTAGCCACGATTTAATCTCCTATTTATGACTTGGATACTGGAACATAGTGCACTCTCAGCAGATTGGCAGATGATACTGAATTGGGCAAGAATACTTTGTTCAGCCTTAAGAAGAGAACATTAAGGAAGAACCATGTTGTTGTCTTCAGGTATCTTTTGAGGGGTCACAGAGAATACTAAAAAGATCTCTTCTGAGAATGGTGCAGGAATAGGGCAAAACAAACATAAGGTGGAACTTTGGAAATTTTTATTACATAAAGTAAGTGGGTGTTTGGTTTTTGTTTTGTTTTTTCTTTTGAGGGTGGTCACATACTGAAATAGTTTGCCCAGAGAGTTTGGAGACTTTCAGTCATTGAGGATATTCAGAATTTGACAAGACAAAGCTCTGGGCACCGTAATCTAGCTGTCCCTCCTCTGAGTTGGAGGTTGGACTGTGTTGACCACCAGGGGTCCCTTTCAACATAAATTGTTTTGTGATTTCGTACTATCTGTTGTCATCTGAATTTGCATGCCTAGCTTAAGGTTGACCACTTTTCAACTGTGGTAAGGAAGATTATTTTCTCTCCTAAAATAGAACTTAAACATTTTCTCTTGTACCTTCAATTTCTGTTTTGTCATCCTCAACAGGATTCACTTCTAGGTAGAACAACTGCAGAGCATATTCCTAGTTGGTGTTCAACAGAGACACTGAAAATCTCCAGCCAAAGTGTGTCTAAAATAATAGTGAATAGGTTTTCCTCAAGGCTCAAGGAGTTCTTAGCAAAACCAAAGAAGGAAGAGTTAATTCAGAAATCTTCCATACCCAGTCTGATATCCTGCATCACTGTCAGGATCTGATATGGTGTGTTTCTGAAACTGGTTTGAAGAAGAGGCATTATTGGTACAGTTTTTAGTATTAAGCAAATCATCCAGTTGCAGAACAGGGCCAGCGGGTGGGGTGGAGAAGTGGAGCAGCAATTTGACTCACACCCTATGTGGAGTACACTAGTGCACTGATACAGAAAGAACAGCTGTTTCACAGCTTTTGCTCTGTCCCCCTGAAATCTCTGGTTAGTTTTGCTGTAAACTTATAATGAAATTATTATTGAATTATTCCCTTCTCCCATTTTAATATACAAATCTGAAATGTTTCCTTTTTTTTTTTCTTTGGTGTATAGGCGAAACATTCATGGTGTCTCTAAAGAAAAGATCAAAAGAATGTTGGAGCGATATGAACACCGCCTTAGTGTTAGTTCAGTATTGGATTCTTCAGTCCCAGACAAAGCAGAAGCTGCTGGTTGGAGTGAAGATCCTTGTCAGGAGGAAAGCCATAGGTTAGATTCTTATACTAGCTTTGTAGTCTTGCGTAAAAGGGTAAACATTCAAACTTTGTAGCAGTGGAAGCTGGATAATGCTGTTGAACAGTTAAATAATAAAAAGAAATGCACTGCGTAGCTTTCTTAATTTATAAGAATTTGAGGATTTCTAGAAATGAGCAGTCAAGGGGCTTAGGCAACTTTCCACTGCTTTTTGAAAACCTCCCCATGTGACTGTGTGTTTGATTGACTTTCTCTTATCAGAAACATGCTATAGGAGGTATGTTGTAGATAAAACCCACTTAAAATCTCTAAAATGCTTTTCAGAATAATGTAGTCCCAAATTACAATTTCTGAGGCTGTGTGTTGTTATTAGATGATTGTTTTGTGGCAGAATGTGAATTCTTTGTTCAGTAGAAACAAGTTATCTACTTGCTTTTGAGTATATTTAGTTCAGACTTCTCTAGGTTTATGTTGGTTGTATGCATGACTGTTTCGTAGTGGCTAATCTGAATAATGGTGTATATGCCTTATAATAATGCATAGGAAATCAGATTATTTGTAGTTATTATCTCATTTGGGTTTTGCATGCTTAATGTATTTGAAATTGGTGGAACTGTGCTCTACCATCCCTGAGAGAAGCAAGCCAGCCACCCAAAACAAAAGAAATTAAAGATCCCCTACCCTCTTGACACCAGGCAGATGGAGGGGATCTAGGAGACAGGGGAGGTTGGAAACAGTTTACTCCTCAGAGTAGACAGTGTATTACCCCCCAGTTTATGTCACCTTCCCAAGTACCCCTGTACAACAGATTAGAGGTATGTGAGGATGAGGAAAATGAGAAAGATGATGAAGTAGATAAGGGATCATCCAGGTTAGAAGAGTTGCCATGTAAGAGTCAGAGAACACCTTGCATCATGACCAGCTCTACCAGGAAAAAGAAGAAAAGTGATTGTGATTGGTTACTTCACCCTCAGAGGAACAGGGGGCCTGTGGGCTCATGAGGAGTACAAGGATGTTGTTAGGTTATGCAGGGAGAAAATTAGAAAGCCAGAGTTGGAACTAACTCTGGCCACTGCTATAAAAGGTAACAAAAAGTACTTTTACAAATATATCAGCAATAAAAAGAGGGACAATGAGAACCTCCATCCTGTACTGGATAATGGGGATAATCTAGGGAGTGAGGATGAGGAAAAGGCTGAAATACTTAATGCTGCCTTTGCCCTCAGTCTTTAATAGCCACACCAGCCACCCTCAAGGTATTCAGTTCCCTGAGCTGGGTGTCAGAGATGAGGAGCTGATTGAAGTCCCTGTAATTCAGGAAGAAATGGTTAGCAACCTCCTGTTCTGCTTAGATGTAGGCAAGTCTATGGGGCTGGATGGGTTACCCAAAAGTGCTGAAGGAGATGGCAGAGGAGCTTGCTAAGACTCCATCATCTACCAGCAGTCCTGGTCCAGTAGGCAGGTCCCAGAGGACTGGAGGTTTGTCAGTATGATGCTTTTCTACAGAAAGGGCAGAAGGAAGACCCTGGAAACTACAGGCCTGTCAGCCTGAGCTCGGTGCCAGGGAAGGTCCAATGCAGCCCATCTGCATGGAGCAGATGATCCTAAGTGAAATCAAAAGGGAGGGATCAAACCCAGTCAGCATGAGTTTATGAGGGTCACGTCCTGCCTGACGTGATCTCCTTCTATGGTAAGGTGACCCATCTGGTTAATGAGGGAGGGGCTGTGGACATTTTCTGTTTGGACTTTAGTAAAGCATTCAACACTGTCCCACAGCATTCTCCTGGAGACACTGGCTGCTCATGGCCTGGATGGGTGTATTCTTCACTGGGCAGGAAACTGGCTGAATGGCAGAGCCCAAAGAGTGGTGATAAATGGTGTCACATCTAGTTGGCGACTGGTCATTGGTCCCTCAGTGCTCAGTGTTAGGGCCAGTGTTGTTTAACATCTTCATTGATGATCTGGATGAGGGGATCGAGGGCACTCTCAGTAAATTTGCAGGCAACACCAGCTTGGGCAGGAGTGGTGATCTGCTGAAGGATAGGGAGGCTCTGCAGAGGGGCCTGGACAGGCTGGATGAATGGGCTGTGGCCAGTGTTATGAGGTTCAGCAAGGCAAAGTGCCGAGTTCTGCATTTGGGACACAATAACCTCACGCAACACTAAGGGGTTTTGGGAAGAGTGGCCGGAAAGCTGCTTGGTGGAAAAGGACCTGGGGTGCTGACTGGCAGCTGCTGAACATGAGCCAGTGTGCTTCATTACATAACTGAATGCTGGGAATGGGGGTAAATAGGCATTTAAGAAAGTATTCTTAACCCCATGCCAAAGTAAGAAACGGATACTTATCAAGGGAAGTTCCTCATTGCTTAGCTCTGTTTTTATAAAGAAGTGTTGAGGTTAGGGCTAAGTCATCTTAAATTTGCTTTCTCTCATTAGAGATCTCCAACTGGATGATTAGTGTCCTAAAAGGTGGTTTCTGATCTGTAATTTGAAATTATTAAATAGTCAAGGCAAAATTAAAAATGTGGACAAGAAGGTTTGAAATGGGTTTATCTTTCATTTGAATTTGTCTTTCAGGACATTACATTCTGATGTAAAGGAAGAACCTTTCGCTTCTGATCTTGGGCGTCTTGAATTAGCTGAAGATGAGAAAACTTTTCCCAGTACTTCTCTAACATTAGAAAGTAACCATGATCCTGAGCGTCTTCAGAAAGAGGAAAAAGAAATTGAAAATAGCTCAGTGGAACACAATTGTGAGGACAGCACTGTTCAAGATGACTTGGATGTTTGTTTGTCAGATCATGTAGAAAAAGAACTGCCCTTGGAGAAGAAAGAAGAAAAGGGAGAAAAACTAGGAAAAAGTACTGAAACAGAAAAGGGTGAGATTGATGTGACCACGACTGAAGATACTTTGTGCATGCATACAGAAGGAGTTGAGGAGCACTGCAATAACAATATTCTCAAAGTTCAAACTGAAGTTGAACAATCTGGCCAAATATGTACAGAACCAAAATCAACAGAAAGTAGTAACACAGCAGAACCAAGCAGTTCGGCTTTCGACATGTCAAGAAAACCAGAACTACTCAACTTTCTGGGTGACTGGCCTGTAGAACAAACAATGGGACAGAGAGTCAAAAGAGCTAGACGACTAGAAAAATCTTCTCTGAAGAGCGATAAAGAGGTTAAAACTCCCAGTCAACAGAATCCTGAGTTAGGTAAAGAGCAAGCAGGCCTGCCTGGGACCCATACTGTTGAAAAAGGACATGAGGAAGAAAATCTAGCCTCTGGCTGTTTCTCTGATAATTCAGATAAAGTTACACCGCAGTTGCAAATGATAGGACATTGGCCTGTCACAGGCTCATTACAACAGAGACAACAAAGGTCAAGGAGAATGAGAAGCACAAATCTAAATCAGGCCGATGAACACAGAAATGCTGAAGATGACATTAATAGAAATGCTCTTGAGACTGTAGATGTGCTTCATGGGACACCTGTGAACACTGCAGAGCAACCGGATACAGAGACTTTGCATATGCACCAACCTGAAACAGAGGCTAGTGAAACACTAGGTGAGAAAAAACTGCAGCAAAATAAGAGAATGAGGAAACATCACAAGTTGGCCCTCACTTTTACAAATAACAATTTGCCCCATCCAAGAGAAGAGGAATGCTTGTCAACACTTAATGTAGAAGAAGAAAAACAGGATGCATGCTCGTGTAGGCAAAAAAGTGGCTATTCACAGACTGAATCACAGGACTTTGCTCTCCTGTGGAGGTTAGAAAAGAAAATGCTTTTTCCCGAGACTACCAAAGTATTGCATGGCAGACTAGATGGCTTCAAACCCAAAGATGTAGGTAATGTTTCAGATTCTCAGGAAAAAATTCCCTATCGAGTTACGTATGATAAAAGTACATTTGTGGAAGAAAGTGAACTTATCAATATTGATGAGTCTGAAAAGCTGAATATGCTGTGTAAGCTCTTTGATTCTGTTTCGTTTGAAGCTGTGAAAGATCTGTATGAAAGATGTAACAAAGACATAGACTGGGCCACAGGTCTGCTCTTAGACTCTGATGAAAAGTTACGCAAAGATGTTGGCACTGAATGCTTTCAAGTAAGAGAAGCTGAGCCAGTTGTTGCAGACCTTGATTTCAAGGCAAGTACAAACTACAGTGAGAATCTCAATGACTGTGAACAAATGTCACAAATAATTGGGGCTGGTGATACCTCTAAGCCTTCAGAAGATAATAACTCATCATTCAGCATTGCAGAAAGTCAGACGGCCAAGGCAACTGTGACAGATGTTGAGGTGTCTGATGCATTGACTGCTACCTCACTGAAGGATTCATCAGAACTGAAGAATTGTGGAGATGCAGCCCCTGGAACTGATGTAGACAGCTCAGCAGCAGTTATCTTTGAGCCGTTCATTTCAGGAAAGCAGAAGGTAGAAGCTGAGAGTCCTGCTGAGGAACCTATAAATAAGCCATTAGTCTCACAACATGATGCAGGTTTCTGTGGACCCATGATTCTGCCTCATGGTCCTAACACAAATTCTACCAATTTGAAATTTGAACTAAATAACAAGAGTGACAGTAACCCTTCGGAAAGCAATGCAGAGAATTCCAAAGTGATGACTTCGTTACTAGAAGTGGATCATGCACCTCTGTTCGGTCCTAGGAATGATGAAGAACTGGAAACCCAGGGGCGTTTCAGAGAGATACATGGTAGAGAAGAAATTGAAACTCCAAACAAGGATGAAGCCAAAGCCAAGATACAAAGTCCTATACCAGCATCACATGCAGCCTTCAATATAGATTGCCTAGAACTAACATTACCTCCTGAACTGGCACTCCAATTGAAAGAAATATTTGGGCCTGTTGGCATTGATGCAGGTATGGGCATAATTGTATTCATATTTTTATATAAAAAAACAAACAACCCTAAACAACAAAACCCCTCAGTTTGGGTGAGAAAACCTTTCTTCTTTTGCCTCTGCTTTTTTTCCTTCACGCTTGGTTTTTAGGGAATGGACTTGCACAATGCCTTATGATACTGTTTGCTGCTGTTAATCCAAAATTGGAACTGAACTATGTATGGCATAAAATACAGATGCAGTAGTGCTACCTTCTGCCTTTGTCTTTTTGTACATGCACGTACTTTAAAAGCATAAGAAAATATATTGGCTTGTTTGCATTTTGAGCAATAGACTTTGAGCCTATATTCATATTCTGAAGGGATATTAATATGATGAGGAAGATGCAAACAGTGACTGGCTAGGAAAAAATAAGAAAGCTTTAGGTATCAGTTGAAGTGGGGAAGGACAAGATGAATTGTTTAGAGAGAAGGTAAAGGGCAGCTATATTTAAAAGATGTAAAAGATTAAAAGGGAGTAGTCTGCTGAGAGACTATGATGAAGGAAGCTGTAAGCAGCTTGAACATGCATCATAGAAGTTAGACTGATAGAAAAAGGAAGATAACATGAGTATATAGCTTGTTTGTTCTCCCTCCCTCTGTCTTCTGCTCCCTCCTCCCTTCTTTATCTTTTTCTCCTGAAGATTATGTGATGTGAATTTGTGATTGGTGATTTGTCTGCTGGCCTCTTCGCCTTCCATGTGTACTCCAAAAAAAACCCAACTTGGTAGCAGTAGAATTATGCCCTTCTGCTTGATACATATGTACTTACTGCCTTTTTAGTTTTGAAAGGGTGAGAAACATCGGAAAGATCTTTTAGGGGGAAAAAGTATGATACCATGATAATTCCTGCTGTTTCCTTTAGAGTTAGATGGGTGACTTGGAGTTTGCTTCTCTGAGTTTATGTGTTTGAAGGGAGGCTTGTGACTGCTGTTGGGCAGGGGCAAGTATGTTGTGTTCCATAAAAGCAGTTGCATGTGGATTACAATAAAACAGAGGGAATCACAGTTTCACGAATGAAACTGTGGTTATAAATTACCAGTGGGTTTGTAAAAGAAGGTTCTGATAGCAAAAATGGAAAGCAGGAAGATGTAGTACAATAACAATTCACGTTAACTTGGCTTTTTCTACCCTGTGAGGGTTTTTGAACACACCTAATGGATTCTGTGTGAAATGCTAATGTATTTATTTATCTGATTATTTTATCTTGGCAGTTGCTGAGGTTTTTTTCAGGTATGACAGTTTGTGCAGAATCTCCAGAATTCAAATTAACAAGTGTAGGCTACTGCATTTTCATTGCTTAGATAAGTTTTTATAGATTTTTATAGCTTTAACAAATATGTTTTCTTTCTTCCATAAGGATCACTGACTCTTGAGGATTGTGTGGTTCATATTGATCTGAATTTGGCCAAAGTGATTCATGAGAAATGGAAAGAATCTGTTCTGGTTAGTAGATTTCTTGCTTATAATATGGTGTTGCATGCTTGCGCTCGGGTCAGATAATTTATCTCCTTATGTGTTAGTTTAAATGTGTAAGATACAAGTATCCTTGTAAAAACAATGATAACATACAAGGGTAATTTGTAAAATATGTGGAGTATACCTGCTCATCATGTTGTGATCATCAGAGCTGTGTAAGACAGTTCAAGGGATGAAGAAACTGCATGTCATGAGTGCCTCAGCATGAAGCCAGGATTCTTGAAAGAGAAGGACCATAATGCACAATTTCACTACAAGATTGATCAAAAATTCCACTGGCCAAAAATAATTGCTGGTTTTTTGACACATAAGAAGAGTTGCTTTATGAATAATCGTATATACAGAACATCTCTGCATACATTAGTTGAGAAGAGTTCTCTAACCTCCCTTTCTTCATAGCCTTATGAAACTGAATGCTTTTGGGCAAAATTTTTGTTTGGTTTATTTAATTAAGGTTGTGAAATCTTAGCACAGGGCATGTTCCTCTAGTTTGATGTTTTTGGAAAGATAGTTCTGTCTTTTAAACTTAATAATAATTTTTCTTAAATGTACTTCTTTTAAGATAGCCAATCTTCAAGAAATACTGTGAGACATTCTTTCAAAGCTGGCTTACTTAGAAGCTAACACTTGCAAAGTTTCACTGCAAAATTTATAGCTTTCTTACAACATTCGTGATTTTACTGTTTTTATTTAGAAGCGTCGGAGGAGAGATGAATCATGTAAGTTGCCTGCAGAAGGTAAGTTATGTATTTCTCTTACTTGTAAAGATACTTAATGCTCATTATAAAAGTATTCTTTGAAACTTCAGTAAGTTTGCAAACATTTTGTCTGTTGCAAAAATGATGAGTTCATTTATTAAGCTAAGCTTTTATTTATTGTTCTGAGTTCCATTTACCATTCTCTTACAGAGGAGTGTGAGGAAAAGGAAGTTAATTATAAGCAGAATCACTAGACCTAGGTAGCTGCAAGCAAAAAGCCTATCATTTTGTGTACTTCAGTGAACTTACAAATAAGCTCTGCCTGGATCACATAGCTGTTAGGTCTGACTTCTGTAATCTCTATAGCAAGGAAAGGTGCAGCCAGAGAATTACTAGCAGAGTGAGATTTCTGTACGTGAGAGAAGGAAGGTCAGCACTACAACATCATTCACATGTTGTCTGTCAGAGGAATTGATTGTAGCATGAAGATGTATGCCTTGTTCAAAAAGTGTTGAGATCTCTGGCAATCCAGTTTTCAGTCAGCTCCCAGAAGAAATGTCCCCTGCAGTCGATCCCACTACTTTTGCATGAGACTTCGATTGTAGTCTGGGTTCAGCTGTAGCAGTCATTTTTCTCCTCCGTAGTAGCTGGTGCAGTGCCAACAACCCCAGTCAGATAAAGAAGGAGAAAAATGACTGCGAGAGCTGAACCCAGGACAGATTGCAGTGTGGGTGCAAGCTCTCTGCTGTTTGGAATGACCAAACAGTACTGTTTGCATTAACTTCTAGAAGTGTAAATTAACAGATTGTTAAGCATCTGTCCTTAAGTTGTAGAGGAAAGGCAGTTAAACATGTAAACACATGAGTCAATAATTCACTTATAAAAGCAATCAAACCTCCTCACTTTAGTGGGTGTGCAGGGTAGTTAACAGCTGTAAGATACATCTTGGCACTTGAAAATTTGGTGGGGGAGTCTGATGGTTTTGCTTTTGTTTTACAAAACAGATTAAGATGATCAGTCTTCAGAAAATAGAATGAGGAAGGTGAAAACAATGTGTTGCTTTCTGTTTTAGCATTAATAATAATGTTTTAACAAAAAAACAAACCGTCTAGTTTGAAAAACGTAATTATTTTGGCTTTGTGTGTATAAATAAGCTAGTAACTGCTTTATTTGTCTCCTCATTTTTATTCCTGTGAAGGTCCTACTGTGATTCAGCAGATAGATACAGATGACTCAGAAATGCTGTTATCTCAGACTGCAGACGGTAAAATACAGAAGAAAAAAATGAGCTGGGTATCTGGCTCATCTGAAAACATACAGACTAAAAACCCAGCAACATCAGACGTTTTCCCTTTTATGGATCACTGGAATGCTCAGATTCAGAAAGTTTCTCTCAGACAAATAATTTCTGAAGAAATAGCTATGCAGGAGAAACAGGACCTGGTATGGGTAGCACCATTTGTAATGCAATTTAAGTTCATTACTGTTAATGAACCAGAGTATGTCTTACCTGGTGACTCATCTTTGTGCTGCTGATTCCAGCCTAAATGCCTGAGACAAATGCATGCCAATTGGGATTGTTGGTTACCCTGATACAGGAGTTTGCTTGTGGTAGATGTTTCCCTTTTAAAAATTCTCATTTTAAATTGTAACATTTTGGTTGTTTCACAAACAGATCGTGGCACATTTCACTCTCCAGGTTAGAATTTGGGTTTGGTTGAATTGTTTTTCTGATTACTCACCTAAAACCAAAGATCAGTGTGAATTCTCACACTTATTGGTAAAGCAATATCAAAACTAGTTCTTAATTGTTCTTAATTAGCTCTTTGCCTTGTTTTCTTAGAAGTAGATTGGATTGATTTTAATATTTTTTAAAAGGAGAACCCACAACATTCCTAACAGATGAGACGTTAAAAGAAGGACCTGAGGTTAACCTCAAACAGGTTTCTGTAGCCACTTGTCAGAAGAAAGTAATTTTGTAAAAGATTTGGGGTAATTCTGTATCTTACACACAGTTTCCATACCCTGACTGGTTGGCCTGTGTGTAATATGCCCTCTACTGCCGGCAGCTGCTTGAAACAGGCATTCTAGTTTGTTACTGTCTGATAAGTAGCTGTCCTTAAAAAAGAGGAGCTTTGTTTCTACTGGTATAGGAAGTTGGATGGATTAGCCTGTCCCTTGAAAGAACGGCTTGTGGATTCTTTCTTTGAACTGCTTACTGATAATAATAACTGTGGGTTACTGATAATAACAACTGTGATGCTCACAGCTTTATTTACAGTTTGGATTCGTGGAGCTTGGCTTTGTTCTGTTTGTCTTTTTTTTTTTTTTTTTTTTAATCTGAGTGCTGGAATGATCAGTCTGATTTATTCTGGGCTGTAATTATGGTTTTCTTCTCAGCATGACTTCACAATATGAGCATTTATTACAATACAGCCTCAGAGACACCAACAAATTTGTTTACGCTGTTTAATAATAAGATGTTGTTTCAACCTCATGCTTTCAGTATAGAGAGGAGGACTTTGTGCAAGCTTAGCATTGGACTAAATAGACTAGCAGGGAATGCATTCCAAAATTTAAATTCCTCCTAAAAAATCCTCCTTTTGCTTTGTCCATTATGAGAGAGCTCCAGCGGTGTTACTTTAAATGACTGCAGAGTACTGTACAACATAACACAATATAACATACAGTACAGTATACTACATATACTGTGCAGTATAATACAACTCACCTGTCCCTACTTTATTCTCATCAAGTCAGTGTGACAGCTGATATTGGTGTGTTGTCTTTGCTCTGGGTGCATAACTACTGAGTAGATACTTTTTGAAATCTTAACAAATAACAGTGAAATTAGATTGGCTCCTCTGTTACTGTATTTTGTTGTAATCAAGAACTTTCAATATTTTTATCTTTGTCTTCTGGGTAGAATCGTATTCCTTGTATGGCTAGAAAAGACTGTGCCGCTAAACTAAAGGAGAAGCAACTTTTTGAGATGTTTCCAACTATTAGTCAAGATTTCTTAATGGATATCTTCAAGGACAATAAGTAAGAAATCTTTTAAGTTCTTTGTAAAAATGGTATTCTGTAGTGCTCTGTATTGCACAGTTACTGTCTTAAGTATTATGAGTTATGATATTGCTGAAGAATTGCTTTTTCCAAACTAGCAGGCTTTTGTAGATCTACATAAAAGCAAAACTAGTTTATGTTAAAAGCAAATAAAAACTCTGCGTCTAGGCTTGTTTCTTTTATGGGAGAGTAAACAGTTTCTTTCCTTGGAGAAGAATGTCTCTGGGTGTTGACCTCTGGCTGAATGTCACTGGAACTGCATATTTGCTGTGGAGCTGAGGTTTAAATCAAGTGAGAGGAATTAGTGGAGGTGGTAATAGTGGGTTCGCAGGAAATGGCATCTGCCCAAAGGGATAACTACCATCACCTGATGTTGGCTGTAAGTACTCTTCTGGTTGCTACAGCAGCTCTGAAGAAATGAGCCATTTCTCAATCTCTTTCTGATGACATTCTCTCTTCTGCATTATATTTCTGGGGTATGTGGGTGCCTTCTTAAATCCAAATTCTTGAGGACTGGACTTTCATTCAAGGGGGACTTCTTTTTTCATCCTTCGCCTATTGAATGTCTTTACATATGGGTTTGTACGCATACTTGTCAGTCTTTCTGCTTGTCCATGTTGTTACCAAAACCTTTCCTCGTGGAATGTTTAAAGTATGTCCTTCACACATTTCTGTAGGTCAAACATTTCACCATCTCTTCTTTTTCATGTTTTAAATTCCCTTCATAATGTTGACCTTCCAAAAATCTGTCTTTACTTTTGGTCAGTCTTTCTGTCTGCTTAATAAACAGCAGGAAGAATAAAGAATGAGGGCTTATTAGAAATCTGATGGCTACTAATGTCCTGTTCTCGTTTCATTAATAACAAAGCTCGACTGGAAATACAAGGATTTCCCTGCTTTAATGGTTTCAGAACACTGAGCTAGTTTTAAACTACTTTGTACTTACTGTCCCTGACCAGAGAAGATTTAAGGTGAACTAACTTACCCAGGCCAAAAAGCAGGTTTACTTCTAAACTAATGTCTGTTTGATTAAGGTAGGGTGCAATTTACTTTAGTATTTCATTCTTCTTTAGATATTCAAGTGCCCCATAATTACATTTCAGTCAACCAAGGCTGCATATGTGTTAGTGCCAGTAATACAGTACAGTGAGCCTTCAAACCTTTTTGTAGTAAGGTGGAAAATTCCATTCCAGTGCTTTATTTCCATCGTAATCTATTTCTGTAACAATATCAAGGTTTGTAATATGTATTTTAATAAATGTAGACGTTATTAATAGATTTGTAAAGTCACAGCTTTTACTTATCCTTCACAGCTACTCTTTAGAACAAACCGAACAGTTTCTGAACTGTGTTCTGGAGGCAGATCCTGTAAAAACAGTTATAGCTCAAGAAAGTGTTCAGCAAAGTGAAATGGCTTCATCCTGCAGTGCTGCAAAGAACCGGGAGAAGAAGGTATTTTTGTTTGTTTGTTGTTTTGTTGTTTGTTTTTTTTTAAATAGTAGTTACAAACATACCCAAATCTCTGTTATTGAAAACACCTTACAGTGCATACTTAGCTTTGACATTGTGAATTCTTACAGGCAAAAAAAGGTAAGGAAGAGGATGAACCTTTGAGTGAAATACTTCAAAAAATTGAGTATCCACAATACGATGATTTAAGAGCAGAAGCTTTTTGTCACCAGCAAAAGAGACAGGAGTGTTTGAAAAAGGCCGGGGAGGCCCATTGCATTGGTATGAAGTCTGTGGCAGCATTTTACGCTCATCAGGTAAATGTAAACATTGTGCTTTTTTGCCTGAATTTGTTGAGGTACTTAAATACTGAATTGGAAGTTATAAGAAAAGCATTGTGCCTACTAGAGTTGATAAATTTGCCCAATTACTGTTTCCTATGTAAGTGTTGTATTGAGAATTGCCGTACAAGTAAACTCTCTTTCACTAGTAACGATACTAATACAGGAAGCTGATGTAAGCAAATTCAGTGCAAGATCTTGTGAAAGATGGTATTTAATGCTCAGTCATACGTACTTGTTTGCTCATAGATCGCATTCTCACATCCAAATACTTGCAAGCACTAAGATTTTGTCTGTGTGGTCTGGCCACGTTCATTCATGTGTGACATGGACTGCAACTAAAAGCAGTTTTCAAATCCTTCATATGTCCCTTGGGTTCGTCTTTATTAGTGATGAACTGTTTTTAGAAGTCTTATGTACTTTTTAGGAGTATTAAAAGGACAGATATTAAAAGTAAGACAGGTATTAAGGTGTGATCTTTTGCCTCAGAATCTTGCTTACTTCCTCCTCTGTAGATCCTGGGCAAGATTGGGCCTGCCTGTCTTTGCTTCTTCATTCTGTCTTTACGGCTACAGTCTGTCTTGGGTTGGGATAAACAAGGTGTGGTATGCCATGGATTTGGCCATCCACCTAGTTTTAGAATGTAGATCTATTGCTGATCAGTCTTATGTGCTCTGGCCTTGGAGCACAGGCTCTCTGGTATTGATTCAAGCAGATTTCTTGGTATATACCACTTTGATTACAGTTGGTCGTTGTTGTTGATCACATTCTTGATTGTAAGTATCAACTGTTCTTGTAAGTCATGGAATCATAGCATACCAGGTTGGAGGGGACCTCAAGGATCATCCAGTCCTACCTTTCTAGACAAAGCATGACCTAGACTAGATGTTCAGGCACCCTGTCGAGCCAAATTTTAAGGTATCCAACACTGGGGAATCTCTTCTTTTAAACACTGACAGGCTTGGGACACCAAAATGTTTCGTACATTGGTTTCTTGGTACCTTCACATGAGACCATTGATTCACACCACTCTTAAAAAAAATCTGTTACAAATATCTTTTCTCTAATGTAATAGCATATAAGAAATTGTTAAGAATTCACATTATAGAAGAATTTAACTAGGAGCTGCATTATGATAGAACAAAAATGGAATAATGGAGTCACTTGAATTTTCTTATTATCTTAAAAAAGATTTCATGCAATTGGTATAACATCACTCTAAATGTTTAGATTGTTACTATGTATGTAGGAAATACTGATTATTGGTCTTTATAAAGAACACTTTATGTTCTTGGTTCATAAATTCTTGAAGTTTGGAAATATTTTACATGAAGGTCTGCATAATTTTAAATAGAAATCTAAGTCCTGTCTTTCTTTCATTCTTAGGGATAACAAGTACAGTGGGGAAATGTATTACATGTTTTCTTTCAGGTAATAAAAAAGCACACTAAGCTAACTTTATTAATGAATAATACTTAATGCTTGGTGGTGTTAGCCTGTCTTGGGAATCCTCTGCAAGTATGAATTACGGGGCTGATGTCTGTAATGTAATACATGTCAGATGATCCATTTTAAGAACAGGCTGTCACTTCCATTCTCTTGAGTCCTTTTCAGTCCAATACCTGGACTCAAGTCTACGATTCCTTTTCAGATTGTGCTTACAAATCTTTGAAGACATACTTTGGTGCTTCAGTCTCTCAGATATTACCAGTGTAAGGTTCAGAGGAAATAGTTGTTACTTCTTCACTGTGTAATGTGAATAGCCCTGTACTGCTCCTTGCCACTAATTCCAACAGGGACTGTACTGACCTTGTCAGTCATAAAAGATTTGTCAAAAATGTAAGGATAGGTAATACGCAACTCTTTAAAAAGAAAGAAAGAAAGAAAATCAACCTCAGAGTGTTTGCCTTTGGCTTGTTTGATTTTTAAACGAATGCTTTGAGAAGAATTAACCTCAACTACCACACTCAGCAGGTTTTTCCTGAGTTGTTGGACATTTTCTCTGACATTGCTTCGCTACATTTTTAGCAAAATATTCACAGAAAGAAAAATTCTGTGATTAGGATAATAAATCTGAAAATCAGCATGGAATGTAACTTTTTAGCTTATGTAAAGACCTTATGGTTTTGTGCCTTTTCTGGCTTTTTTGTTTTCCTCCTTGTAAGGCCGTTGTTGTGCCGTCTTTGACTAGTTTCTTAAGGACAGATTTCATGAAATCTCCTTGTGAGTAGGTCTCACTGAGCCTCTTCTGCAAGTTCTTTTGGGATTATAAATTTTACTGCTTCAAACTGTGAGCTAAAAGCACCCTGGCAGTATTATCATTTTGAAACGAACCAGCAGTGTGGAGCTTAGATTATGTCTCAGCATGTAATAGTTGCTATGCTTATGACTAAAGGGTCGCCTTCATGAGCAGAAGATGAAAGAAGCCAACCATGCAGCTGCTGTGCAAATCTTTGAGAAAGTAAATACTTCCTTGCTGCCTATGAATGTGTTGGATCTGCATGGTCTCCATGTGGATGAAGCAGTGAATCAGTTGTCCAGAGTGCTGCAGGAAAAAAGTGAAGGTAGGATTAAGCTAATATTTCTTGCCCCCTAAAAGTTATTCTCCTAATTTTCTGCTAAGAAATTATGATAGATGGCATGGAAATGTTGGTTGGTTTGGTTTATTTTTTTTTTACATGGCAATGATGCTTTTTCCTCTCTGTCTTGCTTTGCACCACTTTCCCCAACTTCACATTGCTTTATCAGAACTATGTTGCTTTTTTAATCTTAAAGAAAAATCATTATGTTGGAATTCTAACCACAATGATTACATTGTCTTCAGCTTTTTCATGAAAGTGTCTGATTTGAGCTGTTTGTCAGTAACTTCCCTATGAGTTTGCCAGCAGGATCTCTTGAGATCAGAATACTACTGCTCCCATAAATGCCATTTTGTTCAGTTTTGACTGAGGGCTTGCCTTCTCTCCCAGTGGAGTGTTCAAGTACTTCATGAGTGTTCTTGCTGTAGAGAGATATGTTTTCCGCATTATTACTTTACCCTATAAATTTAAGCACACTGGGAATGCTTCTATAAGAAATATTTCTTACGTGAGGTACCACTGCACAAACCTAATTTTTTGGAAACAGCTACTCCACACAGCAGGAACAAAAGGGTTTAGTACGGCCTTGGATAATCCTTTTCTTTCAGTATACATCAGAGACTTAAATTGCATTATCTTTTGCTATTCCTAAAATGACGTTTGTATACTTTAAGTTGTAACCTGATACTTTTTAGAGCTAAATTTCATGAGCTGCACTTGCATCAGGAGTCCTGAAATAATGATAAGGGCTCTCTGTTCAGTCAACTGAACCTAAGTCACTTCAACTTAAAAAAAGTTCAGTGTGAATACATGGGAAAGGGATAAATGCCAGGCTGGCAGAATTAACAGCAAACTAGTGTAAAACCCAAATAATGTTGAGAGAGGGCATTTGGGGAAAGATGTCATGTGAACTGGTAATCCTGAGCTGTCAAATCTTGGCTTGTGAGAATTCAGTTTCATTTCTGTTTTTCCTCTTTTTCAAAGTGTTAATCTAGACTGCTGTGATCTCTGAGAAAGGAGCAGTTTTTTTTCTTATCAGGGACTAGATGCCCTAATAAATCTCATGTGATATGTTGATATATTGGTCCACGTGTCACAGCATAACAGAAGTTAGTCCAAATAAGTGTAACTTAAATGGGTGGATTTATATTTTCCTCCTCCTTCCTTTATCCAACAAAATGTTATTTCTTTACTCACATTATTTTTAGATAAAACATGAAACAATAGGGGGAAGTGTCACTTAAAAAGTAAGTTACACCCACTTCTTTTAATTTTGCAATTTTAATTTAGATCACAGGATATAAATTCCAAGTGAGGATCAGATGACAGAAAGAGTAAAGCTGCTATGAAATTAGAAGGATTTTGTGATGATCACAACATGTATATTGCGAGCAACCTAGACTTAAAAAGCTTGACTATGCTTTTTCAGAGTATCTTTTTCAGAAGAGGGGGAAAATGGCTATGTTTATGTAAAAGAGACACAGCCAGCATGGGAAAGCAAGGTTCTAAATCACCAGTGAGAGTTCTCAGAAGAATGGATGGAAAGATCGTACTGAATGCCAAGTCTCTGCTCAGGGAAAATCTTAACCGTTACAATCCCTGCTGTAACAGAGTACCAGCAGACCGGTGGTAAACCGTATCTCTGTGTTATCACGGGAAGAGGAAGCCATAGTCAGGGAGGAGTTGCTCGCATCAGACCAGCAGCTATGAGATACCTCACAAGCCACAACTTCAGGTGAGTTTAGATTTGTGTTACTGATACATTTTTTTTTTTCTTAGCCCACATTTAACTAACTGAAAATTGAAGTTAATTTTAGAATACTGATAAAATACTAAACAGATCAAGGCAGGTCTGCTGTTTCAGATTAAAGTAGGTCTGCTGTTCATTAATCCAATCCAAATGTGTGACATAATGCCATCTTATACACTTCACCTATGAAATGTTAGATCCTTTCCTCTGAGATAGATGAAAACACTGTGAATTAAATTTATCTAACACAGTTTAATTGCATATTTCCATTCAGTTGTTAGTCCTGATTTTTATTGGTCTCTGGTACCTGCTTTAGTGCTTAGCTTCTTATGTGGGACAGCAATTTAACAAGTCTGGGTTGGCAGCAGTGTGTTTGCTGCTTTTTCTGTATAGGAATGTGTGAAGGTGACTGTAATGGTGGGACTCAGAAACAGCAAAGACTTCCCTTCTGATTTCCTTCTTGCTTTCTACGGAAGATGAGGGAGAAAATCTGTTTTGAAAGGGGGAATCTAAGGGGAGCGGGAAAAGAGGAGCAGAATTAATGTAACCAAGAATATTGGCCAGCGTATTTTTTTCCTTAATCTTCCTCTTAGTTCTTGCTATTCCCAGTTTTTCACCTCTCCAGATCCTGCAAAATCCTTGACTGTCACATCCAGAAGACATGATGCTGATTTCCTGACTCTCAACTGCATGCATACTTGACCGAGAGAACCTTACCACTTCCCATATGTTTGATGAGGGCTGAAGGAGGTGGCATTGCACACAGCTTTCATTTGAAGCTTCATCTTTTCTTATTTACAGGTTCACTGAAATAAAACCAGGCTGCCTGAAAGTCATGCTGAATTGAAGGGTTGTTGAGAAGAGGAATACAGAAACTGAGGTGTCGGATCACAGCTAAAAATTTTTTGAACAACCGCAATAGTATTTTGTAATCTGTTTTAAAGGATGATATTCTATTAGAAATGGCCTCAATTTACAGCAAGCATTTTTGTCAGCGTGTTTCCAAGAAAATTTTTATATGGAATGGATGCTTTTTTGAACCCGCAAAAAAGAAGACGCTCACAGGATTTGGAGTCTCAGAAACGCAGATTATGAATTCTGCTGAGCAGTATAGGATGTTTTAAAGGGAAGTTAAGGTACAATTTTTAAATATAACTGTCTTCTCAGTATACCCAGGCTGTGTCGTCTGACCCTCACACATTTTAACTACTGTAGATTCTATGCTTTTACAAGATAATACTTTGTATGAAGTTATTTTGTGATTCAGAACTTTGTGCTAAACCCTTGAGAAGAGCACGGGGGAGATGGGAACTGGGCAACTACTGATATTTCAAATCCAGTTACAGCTGAGTGCTAAATATTTCCAGGTTTATTCAAAAGTCTCATGACTTTTTAGTGATGGGTTGACCAGTTCTGTTGTCCTTTTTCCGTTTTAAACTTCTCCAGATACTGATGGATGTTGCATATAAAGAACTGTGCAATAAGACCAGCTGGGAGTTTGGTAATTTTGCAGACTTACTGTGATCTATTAAAGGGAAAAGTACAACACTGTAGTTCAATCTCTACTTACACATAGCTAATACTGTAATTTTACAGTATTTATGCAGGAGATGCCCTTAACTTTTTTCAACATCTACTGGACTAAAAATATTTCTTCCTTTATGGTTTTTTAAGTGGAGAAAATTGAGTATTGTTTCACTTTACAGGTATCTGATAGTGACATGTCTTCATTCTGTGTGTATTTAATTTGGTGATTTCCTTGTAGAAAATATGATTGTCAGTGAGACATTTTAAATGTATTTTTAACATCAAAGTGAATGCTAATACTACAGTAGTAATTGCCTAACTGGAAAGTCTGGGAATACAAAAGTTATATTATTGGTGGTGGTGTTGCATCAGCATCTAGAAATACCTGTGTAAAAAAGCAAAACAACAAAAAACCCCAAACACTCCCCCCCCCCATTTAAATATAAACATCAGTATTGTGGCAGGTGTTTCCAGTAAGCAATCAAAAACTTTTTAAGTAGAAATATCTTTTAGCATGCATTACTATTTTTATTTACATCTTTGCCTCTTGAAAGGCATACAAATTTTTGTTGTAAGGCTTTTTCAGAAACAGGTAGGGGTTGTGTATTAGGAGCAGTATTAATAGGTTAAGGATCAAGGGGAGGGTTTATTCATTTAAAACAACTTTTGCAGTAATTTATATCCAGCAACCACATGCATACAGAATTTGTGTATGAATCCATGTATTTGTGCAAGTTCTGCCATTTGTGTGCATTAGGAGTAATAAGCAAGGAACTTCTGTGAGAAAAGCTGTGCACAGAAATAGGTTTCACTTGAAAATGTGTCTGTGTAAGTTGCTGACAAACTGAAAGATATGTTTCCTAAATATCTATATTTACTGTAATATATACACAGTGAATGCAACGTACACTTAAAAATTAATTTGTCATGCTTCAACAGATACAGTAATCTTTTCATGGTGACTTCAAGTGGAAGAATTGCTTGAATAATATTTAATTGAAGGGACTTTTACTGGAATAATAGTTGTAATATTTTTTGAGGTACCTAGTTCATCTGAATCATGTCCTTTCTCTTTTTTCTTTCTTTCTGGGGTGATCATGTAAAATACAAAAAAAGTCTGTGCTCCACAAACCTCATTAGCAGAGCCATTTCTCCCACTGCACAAACTCCTGTGCAGTGAAGTGCGTGATCCACCCTGTGTGACAATGCCTAAATGGACTGACATGTCACTTAGGCACTTGGACTTGAGACAGCAGTTCAGACTATAAGCAAATCCAGGGGTTCAAATGCTAGAACTGCCTCAGCGAACTTAGGATCTTTCTTTTGGACCAAGGAACTTCCTTCTGCTCCTGAACAGGTTTTCCTTGGTGCTACTGTTTATACCGAATGGATATTCAGCTTTCTGGGGCAAGTCTTTAAAGTGGAGTCCCTGTTGTTTGGCTCGGGTGGCTGAGTTGCCCAGCCAGTGTATGCTCAGAAGTGTTGTGTGTTGAGCTGCTGGATGCACAAGCCCTACAGTAATGTGGTTGTAAACAGGGAAGTGGCAACACTTCCATCTGGTTTGAGAACGGGTCTGGTTCACTCAGCATATTCACACCTTTCCTGGTATGGGCAAAGACAGCTTAGATTGCAGTTCAAAAGACAAGCAGAAAGAGTTGTTTTCTTGCCCATCTGTTCATAATCTGGTTGTTGACAAGTTTACCCTGGCGATGAGAAACACAGCTTTTTACCTGCTTGTGGTTTAGCAGAGGGATGGTGATTGAGTTTGACGCTCACTTCCCCAGAAAAGTCACTTCCTGAGCCTCTTCCAAAGTCATTACTGCAAGATAAAAATCAAGGGGACAAAAGAGATTAAAGACTAAAAATTGTATAAACTTGTAGTCTGGAAGAGGATTAGAACTCTCCAGAAAAGGAGGTTCAGTGTACTTCCATATTATTTTTTCATCTCTTAGACCTATTTGGATAAATGCATAAAAATGTTGAGGGCAAAACCTCAGGTACACCCATTACTAGGAGAGTTTTTCTTCAGTCTGTCAAAGTCAGCAGAGGAGTACATAGTTTAAGAGCAATTTGGAGTGCTTCTTGCTCTCCTTCTCTCCATTATCCTTTTGGATACAGGTTGAGGTTCGCTAAGGTACTCTGAATACCCTGTGTGGTTATAGATTAATTATTCACCTGTTAAATGTTGTGTGATCGCAGGCTGAACTTTAATGGAAGATGATGGTTTAAATTCATTAACATGGGTGCTGACTGAAGTGATCAACTTTATTGAAGTTAGTGACAGAGCCTTTATCAGCTTCGGCAACTCAGGGTGAGTCATTGCAGTTCCAGCTCGGAGGAAATATACTGAGCTCAGCCTTTTTCTTCCATATGATCTTAAGCATGTGCTTAGAAGCTGTGCTGAGCTGGATACACAATGGAGCAGAAGATCAGTGCACAGAGAGAAAGAAAGTAAGACTTTTCTTAGTAAGGATTTCCATGCCTTCAGCCAAACTGTCCAGAAAAAAAACACTGGACTTCTTGTGTTTCTTTGACTGTTTTATAATGTACAGTGGATGAATTATATCAAATACAATTGTTTCAAAATGGTATTTCAAAGTAGGTTACATTTTAGAACTCTCAACCTTTCTGATGTCTTTTGCAATTATATCAGTGAGAAACCTGAGGTATTGTATAAGTTCTGTATCATCTTATACGTTTAATTAAAATAGCACTTAACAGTATTGCCACCAGCACTCTGAAATAACACGCGACTGTTAAAATACCTATTTTGTGTATAACTTTTTATCCAGTTCTTCAACAGCATGTGGTCGTGATGACTGGTAGCTTTTAATACATGAATTTGGGTTCTTTTTTGCAAAACATTTTAACCTTTATCCCAGTTTTTCATTTAGGAAACATCTTTTTGTGTGTGTATATATATGTATATAGACACACAAAATTTAATATTGTGCTAGCATTGATGAATCATTTTACAGTGAATTAAAAAACAAAGACCCAGAGGTGCAACGAAGAAAGTTGTTTCCTGAGTAATGTGTTTAAAAATATGTTGATTGTGAAAGTAGTGGGGCAGAAATGATTTAAAAAAATATTTCAAGATACATTGACAATACTTTAACGACTTCTGCTTTTAAAGGTATGTGGTACAGTTGTATTTAAACTTCATGTTTTTGTAGGCCTGTTGAAGGACACCTCAGGCAAAGTTTAACTGGCATTTTTTTGTGGCTATTGGAAACCATTGTGACCTGGGAATTCCCATTTAAACAGTGTCCAGATGCTCTAGTCAAAATCTAGAACATCACTAGAACCAGAACATCTGGAACATTACTGTTGTGGGTATGTGGAATGTCAGTGAAAATCCTGCAGGCTCAGCAGAACATGTACTCTTAAGGTTTTACTTGAGGAGGTGAAAAGTAACCACATCGTTAATCTTGCCACAAAATGTGGTGGGTAGACAAGAAAAGATTTTAGTTGCTGATAATGGCAAAGAGGGATCATCATAAATGTAATATGAGAAATTATACATAGACTGTATGTTACTGATGCTTATGTCTTCAAATGCAGTTCACATTTCCAGAACACTATTGTGCTCTATGTGGAGCGAGAGAGAGGATAGAGTATGAGCAGTGTAACAAAGAAGAGTTGGTTGACTTACCACAATTCCGAAGTACCATGTTCTCTTAGAAAAGCTCACACAAAGCCCCATGTTCTTGCTATTTCGGCTAAATAAACTCTGCAGAGGATTAAATGACTATATGCGAATATGCATGTGAAAAGACCTAGTATTGCAGCTACCAGTTGTAAAACCTCTTAGGACCAGTACCTTGGAAAGATACAAATGTCTATTTTTAAATTAAAATTTAAAAATGCTTTTTTTTATTTGTATAAAGTTGTAATTTTGCTGTCAACTGTAACTTTAATTTTTTACTGAAATACAGTTTTGTAATTTGCATTTAAAATTTCTAATGTGAAAAGGATTTACAAAATCTAGTTTAATAAAGGATTTTTGCCACAAGTATAGCCTTCTGTCTTTCCTTGGAAGACTACATTTCAGCTTGTGACAAATTTTGTCAAATAGTAGTCTTGGAGTTCTGCATGAAAGCCACTTGCCTTGACTTCAGTTTACCATCTGTAGGGAGATGAAGCAACCATCTGCGGGCTTCAAGAGGAACAGATTTGTGGCCTGATTTTAAGTATTGTGAGTGGGCGCTGAATGCTCACATTACTGAAAATGAGGGTCATGGTTTCAGATTTTTTTGTCCTGAAGATGCTGAAGAGATGCTGTTCAGGTCTAGCTTATCTTGTGGGAGAGTGAGGGAGGGGTATGTGTCAAGGGGAGGGGGAGGTATGGCCACTGTCCAAGAGGAGAGTTTGTGGGAGGGAAGTGTTCTGGATAGACCTCGTTTAGCAAGACCTCATGGGTCAGGGGGAGTGATAGGTAGCTCCTTAGGAAGCACCATTGCTGTATTGTTGTGGATTCAGAGCTAGTAAGCCTGGCCTTTCCCAAGCCTGCTCTGTACAGATCAAGTGAGCTTTTTGTGTGTCATGTGTCTGGAAGTGTGTGGAAAGACATATGAGAGCAAAGTGCTGGCTATACTCAAGCCTGTTTCATTAGCTGAGGTTGAGGACAACTGGCTTTGACCTGAGTTAACTTCTGCAGAGTCATTCCTATGACTTCACTGCCTTGTAGCTTGAATAGACTGCATTTGCACAGCAAAGGCCTAACTGATAAGCTGTTCAAGAGAGAAGGGAAAGCAGGTTTGGGGAACACATGAAAGTTTAGCGGATGCTGGCTTAAATCTGAGGTGGCTGATGCTGAGCTACAGCTACTAGACCACAGAACTGACAAATGTCTGGTTGGCTGTGTGCTCCTTACTTGCTCCTTAGGACTCCCTGCTCTGTCAATGTGGCTCAAGGTCCATCTTGGGGTTCAGTCTCTCAAATTGTCATGTTTTAAAATGAAGGTACTGCTAATGGAGTTGCTTTCTTTGTGGAGGCAGGACAGCTGCTCATCATAGAGACCCAGCTTTACTCCTGTCCTTGATAACAGTTCATCCTGAGTTACCAGCTTCTGCTGCTGTCTATGCCCTTGTTTCCCCTCTGTGCTGGGCTAGCTCTGAGCTCCTTTCTGCTTGCAGCTGGGAGCTTGCTCTGGCACTGAGGATTTCTGAGAGCCCTTCTCCCTATTTAAAAGTGGGAAATGGAGTCTGTCCTTACTTAGCGAAATTATTTGAACTTTTAAGGCTGAAAACTGAAGTGTGGTAAAATAAAAATATGGCCTGAGGCAAACAGAAAATTTCAGCCCAGATCATTAAACTATAATTAAACTGTGTCCATTGGTGGAATGCATTGTGTAGCTCAACAATAGGTGGTGCCCTTGCCAATGGCATCGAGTGATGGTGACAACAGCTTTTAGCCTGCCAGTATCACAGCTGTTTCTCTGTATGACATGTACTGAAGGATGTTATTACACATCACGTGCTGTTCGTTTCTTCCTCGGAGGGAGAATACTGTACTCGGAGTGTTGTTCTGGTGACTTTTGTTCTTTACAGATGGGTGTGGTAGAGCTTGTTTTCAAAATCTACTTACTTCTGTGTGCTAAGAACGGGGAAGACAAGTTTATTTTTGCACTCGGATTTGAAGACAATAACGTGGGGGTTTCTCCTTTAGCTAAACTGGTTTGCTTTTTGCAGTTTAGTTGTCTGGATGCATGGATGAATCAGTCTGGAGACTGACACAAAGGTGTGCTGTTTGATGAAGTCCTGTCCCGCTGTGGGTGTTGGTGGTGGCACAGTGTCTTCTTGAAAACCCTCGTGGAGAAGGACCCTCTTGATGTTGCTTGACTTTGTGCATCACGGGACCTGGCTGGGCTAGCAATGGCTTCACAGTAGTTGCTGTCATTCATTCTGCAGGATAGATCAGGAGATAAAGTTCCTTTCTTCCAATAGCCTGGGAGGCTTCTAGACAGATTTGGCACATGCCGTCTTTTGAGGATTAGCTCAAAGAGCTATTCCCATAAACAGGGCCCATGTTTGTCCTGAATGACAGTTAGGAGCTTTGGAGGATCCACAAATCTTTATTACCCCTGGGCCAGTCT